TTACACTACAGAAATCCGATGAAATAACAGCTTCGTTTAAGGTGTTGGAGACAGTGTAAGAGATACCCATTTTATAATATAAACAGCATATATTTTACAGTATATATTATACCTTAATCCCAACCAGCGCTTCGAATAATCTCCGTGAACTAAGCGTCGAACAGCGTAAATGCGTCTTCAATGATGAGGAAACCTCCAATCTTAAGGCATGTCAAAACATCAATCTGGTTTTTATGCCTTCGCCAATTCTGTGTTCCCTTTAGGTTTACAGCAAATCCTTATGCCTGGCGCGCTGTCGTGCCATCATGGCATTGGAAATGTGCAATTGTGTGCCCTTCTTCTATCCCTTTGTCGAGGGACCAACTTGTAATCCAGCTGGATTTGAATGTCTTTTGGACTTTAAGTGGCCCATTTGGGCGTTGCACATTTGCAAATGTCCCTCGACTTGCACTGAAATTGAATATACCATGCAGACGGTCAAGAAAAGCTCGTGGGGCATGAAGGGCAATGAGGACACGACGGGCATCGACATGGCAACATCTAGCTTTCGCTGGGATCTTATACCACCCAAAGTACGCTTTCGACGCGATGTCGTCTTTAGCTTTGAGGATCTTATAGGTAAGCTAAATAATTTACTAGCTAAGCTTATATATCTAAATATGTATGTATTCCTGCAGTGTCCTTTGGCGGTGCTTTGGCCTTGTTTGTGGGCATTAGTGTCATGGGTCTGGTGCAAATGGGCTACGTCATAATCTTCAATATTTTGCTGGACATAATTAAGCTTCTCCGCTTTATTCACACATTATATTTACGAGCACGCTACCAACGTCGTGCTACTAAGCCCGCAAGTCCCGTTCACAGCAAGAACAATATTTCTAGAGCTGAAACAGCAGAGATACCTTTGTTTGAATATGTTAACTAATAGATGTTTATCAGCAATTAACGATAACGTACTTTTGAATGTCGATAAAAGCAATTGCATTGTGTGTTACAAATAAAAAAAAAATACCTGCAGTTATTTAAATTGAAACTAAAGTTATACCACTAACCACAGAACACGGTCTATGGGTTCTGTGGTTAGTGGTTATACTTTTTAAATATACTCTTTAATTTCGATAATTTCGTCAAGTGTGTCGATAATTTCTTTGCACAGCGATTAATATAATTGCACTGTGTGCCATCATAATTCACACGCGATCGATATTTATTTATTCAATTAAGCCAGCCCTGGTTAAAAACACACGTGCGGCTAAAAATATTTCTGTGTGGCACAATTTGCATTAAACGCGAATCGCAATAGTAAAGTAACATATATATCTAGACAAAATGAGTGACGATGAGTCTAGTGATGGATTGGAGGACTTGAAAGATCTGATGGCCATATATGCCAAGCACGAAGAAAAAGCGCAGAACAGTCGTTCGTCCAAAACAAAGAGAGAGGAAGCGACCTATGTGGAGGTGCCCTCTGAAAAATTGATATTCGGTGATAGACAAGCGTTTCTAACAAACTTGGCCAAATCAGTGGGCAAGAAACGCATAAAACTTGATAGTGTGAGCAAATCAGCAGCTGATGATGATGATAAGGAGGAAGCAGCAGAGGCTGCAAAGAAACCGAAGCCAGCATGGATAGACTCTGATGACGAGGATATTGAAGTGGGCGAGGTGAAGCGACCCACTCGACACACCGGTCCACTGACGCACTTGCGCAAGGACAAATCATACAAAGAATATCTAACAGCGCGCTTTCAACGAGTCATCCGTCAACCAAAATGGGCATCTCTTGAGCGGAGGCAGAAGAATAGCGATGATTCCGACTCAGAGGAGGAGCCGCTGCTTAAAACCGTGGGCTTCATCAATCGCAGAGTCAGGTCAAATGAGCTGCCGGTAAAAACGTTGCCATTCAAACGGACGCGAGATTTGAATCGTGCCACCTACAGCGAAGGCGTTATCACGAGCATCCAATTCCATCCGACCAGCACTGTTGCCTTGGTCTCTGGAGAGAGCTGTGTGGCGAATCTGTATTGCGTGGATGGCCAGAAGAACGAGAAGCTGCACAGCATACGCTTCAAAAAATTTCCACTCACCTGTGCCCGCATGGCTCCGTGCGGCACAAAGGCGTTCTTTGGCTCGCTGAGGCCCTTCTACTATGCCTACGATCTGCTGGAGGCTAAGGAATCTAAGTTAAGGCTGCCTTCCGTGTTGAGTTACTTAACTCACTTCGAGGTGTCGCCGTGTGGGAAATACATTGCCACAGGTGGAAAATTCGGCGCCATCCACTTGCTGACCAGTAACACAAACGAGCTGATCCACAGCTTCAAGCAGGAAGGTCTTGTGCGTGGCATGTGCTTCACGGCGGACTCACAGCGACTGCTCTGTAGCAGCTCCGGCTGCAATGTGAATGTGTTGTCCCTGCGACAGAATTGCATTGAGCACAGTTTCATTGATGATGGCTGCGTTAATGGCAGTTCGTTACAGCTGTCCCCCAGTCAACGTCTCTTGGCGACGGGCAGCAACGAGGGCGTAGTCAATATCTATGATTACGAGAGCATCTATAAGACGACGACGCCGAAGCCCGAGAAATGCTTCATGAATCTGCGCACGGGCATTGCGGATCTTCAGTTCAATCACACGTCCGAGCTGCTGGCCATGTGCTCAGTAAAGGTGCGGAACGCCGTGAAGCTAGCACATTTCCCCAGCGCTACGGTCTATGCCAACTTCCCTGAGCAAACTGACTCCTTCGGTTACATCAAAAAGATGGCCTTTTCGCCAAATAGCGGCTACTTGGCTTTTGCCAGCAGGGGCAAAAGGGCGCCCTTGTTTAGACTTAAGCATTTCAAAAACTATTGAGTGGATGGGATATATCTGGAGTGGATATATGATGATATACGAAGTGAACATATATGGAATGAATATATATGCACGGGATATATATAATTTTTTTGTATAATAAAATTATGATAATTGATAATGATCTGTTCTTTAATTTAAACAAATGATAACTGCTCTTAATTTTCAAGAATGATTATAAATCTTTTGAACATTTAGATTAACAGTTTCTTCAACCCCTCTTGTTCCATACCAAACATAGTTTAATATTAATTTTTACATTTATTTAAAAATGATATATCTTTCAATAGGGAGCCCTGAAGATGTCTCGCTTTTGTGTCTCATGGATTTTTCCGATATCATCCAGTTTCTTGCATATGTGCGACGACTGTGTCTCGATCCATTGGAGTGAATTCATGTGTGCGTTCAATATCTTGCCAATCTGTATAATGGGATCTGTGTGATCCTGTCCCTTGTTCGCCTCGTTGAGATTGTCGATCACCTCTTTCAGATCCTCGGACATTTGCTTCAGCTGCGTATCCAGATTCTCGACCATCAGATAGGTTTGACTGCGCTCCTGATCGACGCGTGGCAAACTGGTGAACTCTTTCTCTAACGGACCCAGACTCTCCTCCAGCTCTTTGTGCTGCGTGGCTATGAACTCCAGCTCCTGGTCGAGTACCTGCTGGTCGTTCTTCACCTTTTGCACTGCATCGTTGAGCTCAATGATCTTTTGGTTGTTGCCAATGAGCAGTTTGTCCCAGGCATTTATTTGCGTCGCCTGCTCTGTGAAGACTTTCTCCTGCTCCTCGAACTCCAAAGTCCATTTGTTAATGTGCTCCTCCAGCTGATGGTACGTCAACTGCGTAGCATTCGCAACGGTGGCTGAGTCAGTGGTCTTTGTTGCAGTGGAGAGGTTGGCAAAGGTGCTGCCAGTTGCTGCGGCTGGCGCAGAAGCAGCAGTTGTAGCCGCAGCTCCAAGTGGTGCTGTACTACCTAGTTGAGCAACAGAAGTCGCTGTGGGTGCTACAGCCGATGTAGTTTTCGGTGCAGTTCCTAGACCCAAGGTTAGGCCACCACCACCAAGTGGATTTGCTGTGGTTGTCGCTGCTGCAGCTGCTGTTGTGGTTGCTGTGGCTGCTGCAGCTGGTGGTTGGGCAAGGAATCCAAAAGTTGGAGCCGCTGTAGTAGCGGGTGCAGTTGTGGCCGCCCCAGCTGCGGGAGCAGCAGCAGCAGCACCGCCCAGCCCGGCACCCAAGCCCGTCAGTGGATTCGATAAAGTTGGAGCAGCTTGTGTTCCCGTCAAGCCAAAGCCGCCAAATTGTAGTGGCGCTGCCGCTGTCTTGCCACTATCAGCATCGCCACCGCCAACATTTGAAGCCGCTGCTGGTGCAGCAAAGCCAAATGTGGGTTTGGCGGGAACTGCGGCGCCGGCAGTTGCTGGCGTTGCAGTGCTAAGCCCAAACGAGAAGCTCGGAGCGCTGGCTGTTGTTGTTGTTGCAGGCAGTTGGAATGCCATTATACGTTATGACAAATACACAAAAAAAATAGTATAAAAATTAATTTAATTTTACACACGATGCATACGTAAACCGCAGCGATATTTCACAACTTATCGATAACGGTGTGGCTGTAATGCACAAAGCAAATGTTTTGGTATTTTTTAATAACAACCTCAGCTGGAATCGCAAGCGTAAATTAAAATGCCCGCGCCAATCGCGTTACATTAAGCTGAATTTAAAAAGATAATATATGTATAACAATGTGTTCGGTCGAAAATATTAAAAAAGTTATTTCTTCTTTTTTTAATTAAATGCACTTGAGAGTCCATTGGAAGTCAACAGGCATGATGATTTAAACAGTTATTTGTCTATGCATTTGTAGGTGGCGAATGCTAAAGAGCATTGCGCGACAAATTGAGTAATTTACTTGGATTTCAAAAATGTTTTATTTGTGGTAATTGAATTTGTATTACACTGTAGCATATTTGTATAATTTATTCTGTTTTTAGGTAATACACTGATTGGTATAGCAAATTGTATATTGGAATGCTTTTCAATTATAGTTAACAATTATCTCTTGTCAACCAAGCTGATTTATTTGCTCACGTAGTTTGGCCAACGACAGTTATCTAAGGATGGATACCTATATAAAACCGTTATTGTGGGCTCGGAACGATGACATCTAAGAATGTTTGGCATGAGGAACGTTCCATTGCTGCTGCTGGTGTTAATGCAGTTGCTCCACGCTTGCTCTGCACTGGATAATGGACTGGCTTTAACGTAAGTCGCATTTGATTTGGATTTGGACGTAGATTTAAGTGTCTAATCTATTGCAGGCCACCCATGGGTTGGATGTCTTGGCAGCGCTTTCGATGCATCACCGATTGTGATACGTATCCAGATGAGTGCATAAGGTAAACTATCAATCAATGAATTTGAGTACTTTCATAAGAAGCTCTCCTCATTTCCTTACAGCGAGCAATTATTCAGACGCAGTGCCGATCTACTTGTGTCGGAAGGCTATGCTGATGTGGGCTATGAATATGTTATCATAGACGATTGTTGGCTGGAGTGGAATCGAGATAACATGACAAACAAGCTTGTACCAGATCGGAAACGTTTTCCCAGAGGCCTCAACGTTCTGGCTGATCATGTATGCTAAAGCATCCCAACTGTAGCCTTGTCTAACTAGTCTCACTATAATTGTAGATACACGACAAAGGACTCAAGTTTGGGCTGTATCAGGACTTTGGCACAAAGACCTGTGCTGGCTACCCAGGTGTGATCGACCACATGGCACTCGATGCCGAAACCTTTGCTAAGTGGGATGTGGACTATGTGAAGCTGGATGGCTGCAATGCCAATCTTAGCGACATGGAAACGGGCTATCCAGAATTCGGACGACTGCTGAATGAAACGGGCAGACCGATGGTCTATTCGTGCAGCTGGTAAACACTATATTTTGTTGGTATATGGGCATTTATCTAGAAAAGTATCCTTTTTGTAGCGTGGAAACTATTTGGCTTTTTGTAATCATCTTGCAAATTAACCAATTATATTTAGCACCTTAATCGGTGCGTCTTCAAGCTACAAAAAGTAGACTTTTCTGGTGAAATACCCATAGACATTTCGGATATTAATCAAGTTAAAGTTCAGGCCTGCCTATCAATCGGAACAGCCTCACTTTGAGTCATTGAAGCGCCATTGCAATCTCTGGCGAAACTGGGCTGATGTCCAGGATTCATTTCAGTCTGTTATGGCTATAACGGATTACTTTGCCAAAAATCAGGATAGCATGCAGCCACACGCCGGACCAGGGCATTGGAACGATCCAGATATGTTGATTTTAGGCAACTATGGCCTTAGCTATGATCAGAGCAAACTGCAAATGGCCATTTGGGCTGTGCTGGCGGCGCCTTTAATAATGTCCAATGACTTGGCCAAGGTGCGACCAGAAATTAAGGAGATATTACAGAATCGGTTGGTAGAGTTATATATCATATAAATCACTATAGTTTAGCCATATATATTCCAATACAGTGATGTGATTGCTGTTAATCAAGATCCTTTGGGCATACAGGGTAAACGATTGCTTATAAAGAAAAAAATTGAGGTAACTCTATGATTTATTGATTTATGTATTTGTGATTTATGTACTCTCATTCTCTTCTGCAGGTCTGGAGTCGACCAATCGAACCTAAAATCAATGGAGAATACTCTTATGCTATAGCATTTGTTAGTCGCCGCGTGGACGGATCTCCTTTTTCCATAACATTTACGCTTAAGGAGGTAAAGATTTGAAATTTGAAATTTTGAAAATGGCCTACGCTTATATACTGCATATTATACTACACTATACATATATGATTATTATTATTATTTTGTTATAATATATTTTATTTTAATCCGATCTAGCTTTCGCTATTCAATGATAATGGCTACATCGTTCAGGTAAATCTTGCTGTATATTAAATGCTTTAAGTTTTATTCATTTGCTCTTCTTGCTTTCAGGATTTGTTTGAAAGGAACAACAAAATGGGCGTCTTTCGTAAGGATACTAAATTCAAAACACGCGTTATACCTAATGGTATTTATATGAGTCTTTATTTATTCTATATATACAGTGAGCACAGCTTGAAGTATATCCTGTTTTGCAAGGATGTGTTTTCTGTTATATTAATCGCTTAAAAGAAACCAATTTATTATTCTCTTATACAATCTTCTGAAAGCTTTTTGTAAAACCATTTACAAATCGCTTATATAATTCCGTTATTGTTACTCTCATTCCATTTCTTATACAAGTCATCTTTGCCACTTATATATGTAAATCTGCCTATCAATCGAATTGAATTCTAATTTGTTTTGTTTGTTTTTTTTTTTTATATTTTTTGAATTAATTTTAGGCGTCAGCTTCTATAAATTTACAGCGCTGTGAGGAGATACGAAGCAGCTGAGCTCCAGATCACGAGCAGTTATTTCCACATGTCCACATATACATATGTATAATAATAAAAAACGGTTTAAAATGTATTTTCATTTATTTGCTTTTATATTTGCATTCGAAATTTTTTGCAAATCGCTCATAAACATCTTTAATGTAACAGGAAACCGTAAACAAAGTACTGCCAGGCTGTTATGTTTGTAGGCAGTTGGAATGCGTTTCCCATTGCGTTCAATAAAAATCCCACTGAATATTTCCCAACTTATCGATAACAATGTGGCTGTGTATACATGTTTTACGTTTTGGTATTTTTAATAATAAGCTCAGCTGGAATTAACAATAACAAATCTCAATCGTTAATTAAACCGCCCGCGCAAATCTGGACACAGAAAACTAAATTGAAATACTCTATTGTATGTAAGCATTTCACAATAAGCGACTAGATAAATTGCCATGCTACGTCTAATTGGATTTTATTTTGATTTGTCAGTTTGTTCTCCTTTATCTGGAAGTGTCTGATAAATACCATTTGGGTCAAGAATATTTAGACAGTTGTTTTTTCCTTTTTAATTAAAAGCACTTGAGAGTCCATTGGAAGCCGGCAGCCATTTTGGTTTAAACAGTTATTTTTCTATGTGTTTTTGTATGTGGCGAACGCAAAAGTACATTGCGCGACAAAATTGAGTAATTGGTTTTGTTTATTAAACTTGGGCTTAATGGATGCATTAATTTTGGTAATTGATTATTTATTACAGTGTAGCATACACGTATAATTTATTCTGCTGTGTGGTAAGGACTGGTAAGTGTAGCTAAGTCTTGTTGGCTTGTGTAACAGCCAGGGGCTAAGAGTAGATAACCTGTAACGCTTGAGCGCCTGAACTTGCAGCTGATGATAAGGAGACTTTCCAGTCCCAACATCAACACTGCTCACGGCTGTGTCTCCCTGCTGTGCGTACTAGTCGAGTACGCAGTTCAAGCTGTGTACTCGAATGCTCTTCAATTACTACAGTTAACAATTATCGCTTGTCAGCCAAGTTTGTTTCTTTGCTCAAGCAGTTTGGCAAACAACAGTTATCTACAGATAGACAGCTATAAAACCGTTACTGCGGGGTGGACAGCACGCATTGCCTGCATTACTCTAGTTAAAGTATGTTTGGCATGAGGAACGTTCCATTGCTGCTGCTGCTGTTGATGCAGTTGCTCCGCGCTGGCTCTGCATTGGATAATGGACTGGCTTTAACGTAAGTCGCATTTGATTTGGATTTGGACGTAGATTTAAGTGTCTAATCCATTGCAGGCCACCCATGGGTTGGATGTCTTGGCAGCGCTTTCGATGCATCACCGATTGTGATACGTATCCAGATGAGTGCATAAGGTAAACTATTAATCAATGAATTTGAGTGCTTTCATAAGAAGCTCTCCTCATTTCCTTACAGCGAGCAATTGTTCAGACGCAGTGCCGATCTACTTGTGTCGGAAGGCTATGCTGATGTGGGCTATGAATATGTTATCATAGACGATTGCTGGCTGGAGTGGAATCGGGATAACATGACAAACAAGCTTGTACCAGATCGGAAACGTTTTCCCAGAGGCCTCAACGTTCTGGCTGATCATGTATGCTAAAGCAATCCAGCTGTAGCCTTGTCCAACTAGTCTCACAATAATTGTAGATACACAATAAAGGACTCAAGTTTGGACTGTATCAGGACTTTGGCACAAAGACCTGTGCTGGGTACCCAGGTGTGATCGACCACATGGCACTCGATGCCGAAACCTTTGCTAAGTGGGATGTGGACTATGTGAAGCTGGATGGCTGCAATGCGAATGTTAGCGACATGGCAGCAGGCTATCCAGAATTCGGACGACTGCTGAATGAAACAGGCAGACCCATGGTCTATTCGTGCAGCTGGTATATAATATGATATATGTGTATAATTTTGATTATTAATTGAGCTTATGTGCAGGCCTGCCTATCAATCGGAATTTGGTGAACAGCCTCACTTTGAGTCGTTGAAGCGCCATTGCAATCTCTGGCGAAACTGGGATGACATCGACGATTCATTTGAGTCAGTTATGGAAATCGTTGACTACTTTGCCAAAAATCAGGATAGCATGCAGCCACACGCCGGCCCAGGGCATTGGAACGATCCAGATATGTTGATTTTAGGCAACTATGGCCTTAGCTATGATCAGAGCAAAGTGCAAATGGCCATTTGGGCTGTGCTGGCGGCGCCTTTAATAATGTCCAATGACTTGGCCAAGGTGCGACCAGAAATTAAGGAGATATTACAGAATCGGTTGGTCGACTTATATATCACATACATCATTATAAATCTATCTGTATATATATATATTATCATGTAGTGATGTGATTGCTGTCAATCAGGATCCTTTGGGCATACAGGGTAAACGATTGCTTATGAAGCAAAATATTGAGGTAACTATGATTTATTTATTCATATACTTGTGATAACTCAAGTATATAATTTCATTCTGTTCTGCAGGTCTGGCGTCGACCAATCGAACCTAAAATCAATGGAGAATACTCTTATGCTATAGCATTTGTTAGTCGCCGCGTGGACGGATCTCCTTTTCCCATATCATTTACGTTTAAGGAGGTAATGACGTGAAGTTTAATGACCTATGTTTATATATTCCATATTGTTCTATCTCTAGCTCTCGCTATTCAATGATAATATTGGCTACATCGTGCAGGTAAATCTTGCTGCATTTTAAATGCTTTAAGTTTTATTTATTTGCTCCTCTTGCTTTCAGGATTTGTTTGATAAGAATAACAATTTGGGCGTCTTTCGTAACGAGAGTCAATTCAAAACACGCGTTATTCCTAACGGTATTTATTTGAATGTTTATTTATACTCTATATACAGTGAAAACAGAATGAAGTAGATTGTATAGCGTTTTTTGTGAAAGAACAGACTCTGTGAATTGTATTGTCTCTTATAAACTTGTATTGTTTAACGCTCTCTCTTATACTGTACGTTTTTCCCACAAGTCTGCTATATAAATCTTCTATTATACAACCTTTACAAACAAGTCGTATAAGAGTGTATATTCTGATTTAGTGTCACTTGTATTTAAAAATCTGCAGTTTCTTTTCAAAACTCTTATACGACTTTCTTTCCGCTTAAACAATTCCTTCTTCTATTTGTTAATCAAAGATAATTCTAATTGGTTTCTAATTAATTGTAGGCGTCAACTTCTACAAATTTACGGCGCTTTGAGGAGCTATGCAGGGTCTAACCTGCAGATCAGGATCAGCTATATCCACATATCCTTCCGAAACAAATATAATTCCTTTACAATTCAATTTTAAAGATGAGTAAAAACAAATGTATTGTATTGAATTTGTTGTTTATTTGCACTTTACAAATTCTTCAGAATATGCTTTTGTCTATGCATAAAATTTGTATAAATACGATTTGAAATGTATTTAATTTCTTTAGTGTACATTTTGTGTGTTTGTTTTAAGCATTTTGATGCAAATCGATATAAAGATAATAGAATAGAAGTTCGAGCATGATATAAATAAGAGCGGACTTTGTGAAAATATTATAAGCCAGGCCATAAAATTAATATTAATGAATATTTCATTAGATAGATACGACCGTATTCACCAATAGAGAAATAAGTAGCTAAATATTAATGAAAGAAATCCAAATGTACAACCGATTTATATAGATGTATATAGTTTGTATATAGCAGCTAGAATTAAACAGTAGTTGAGGATTATTGTCAAGTTAGGCTTCAGTTGCTGCTGCTGCTGCTCCTGCTCCTTTGGCTAATGCACTCCATTGGTTAGATTGTTGATGGGCGTGCGCTCATAGCTGCGCCGATGCAGTGCATCCACATCCTTAAGGTAGTAGGTGCCCGGGAATAGAGCACTGATGCTGCCCGTTGGCGTGTAAGGCGCTGCGTGATTATTCTTCTCCCTCACCTCCATCAGCTCGGAGAACTTTTCCGGAGCCACCTTCTCTCTGGAGTTCAGCAGCGGTAATACGTAATCCAGCTGCGAGACAAACTTCTCGAACGTGGCCGCATCTTCAGTTACTTTAATGGAGTACATCGAGGCAGCCAGGCCGGAGCCATAGGAGAAGACGCCAATGCGCTTGCCCACCAACTGAGCCGCCGGCTCGCTGATCAGCAGCGAGACCAGACCTGAGTAGACGCTCGGCGTGTACATGTTGCCCACCTGGTTGGCCAGCAGCAAGGACTTCTTGGTCTTTGCGGCGAACAGCTCCGCCGATTGAGTGAGGAACGCCTTCTCCACATCCCGGTCGAAGTAGCTGCCTTCCAGTGTGGCGTCGTTGAAGCGTTCCAGACCGGGAAACTTTTGGGCGCGCTCTGCCTCGGTGCTGAGCAAAAAGTCATTGAAACACAGACGACCCACAGACTTCTGTACCAATTTACAGAAAGGCGTGTGGAAGATCATCGCATCGAAGGTTTGCAGACCCAGTGGCTGCTGCTGAGGGTGCTGCTTCTCGAACTTCTTGCGATAGAGTCGATAGCAAGTGTCCAGGGCCGAGAGGTAACACTGTATGGAAAGTTTGCCATCGACTGTCGGGTACTCGGAGCTCAGGTCGGGCTTGTAGAAGTCATAGGCATGCTCCATATGGGTGGCGCGGAGGCCACGCTCGATGATCAGTGGCGCATTTGGTCCCACTAGCATGGCGATGGCGCCGGCGCCGCCTGTGGGTCGGGCTGCGCCCTTGGCATAGACGGCAATGTCAGCGCATACGGCAAGCGCGTAGCGTCCATCCCAGCTGGACGATTCGATCCAATTTAAGGCATTAAAGAGTGCTGCAGTGCCGCCGTAGCAAGCATTTGTGGTATCGATACCTTCGATATCGGTGTTGCCGCTCGTGGCAAATAGCTGCATTAGCACCGACTTCACCGATTTCGATTTGTCGACTATTGTTTCGGTGCCCACTTCCAGCCTTCCAATGTCCGTGTGCTTGATACGATGGCGTTCCAGTAGGCGCGTGACAACCGTTAAGCACAGTGAGTTGACATCCTCGCGATCCGAACAGAAACCCATCTTCGCTTGGCCCAGACCGATTGTGTACTTGCCAGCGGAGGCGCCATCGAACTGTTCCAATTCCGTTTGGTCCACATATTGCGAGGGGAAGAGCACTTCAATGGCTCGTATTCCAACATTTTCAGGCCAATTGCTTGACATGGCTTATTTAATTTTCTAATTGGTCGTTTGCTGCTGGAAGGGAATCCTTTGTAGTCCTGAGCGCTGTAATGAGACAGATCCAAGTTAGGTGTTATACTTGTACATTTTGCTGTAAATGCCACGCTGTGCCCATCACAACTTTCACCTCTTGATATTCTGCGCAATCACAAAATCAGAAATCGTCTTTAAGTTATGCATATTGCTTGTAATACCTGAAAAAATTGCTTGGGTTGGGGTAAAATGCGTAAAATCAACAACAACCGTCACCGCACATGAGCGCCACCTGTTGCACGCTCGACCTGCTCTGGCCGTGTGCGGCAAAAGCAAGAGCAAACAGCAACGCAACGAAACGCAGCGCAGCGACGTTGACTGCGGCGTTGCTGCGACCATGGAGCCCATTGGTTCCGATTTCGTTTTCGCTGCGTTGAGCTTTTCAGACACGCAAACGTGTGAGTGCGAGTGAGAGAGGGCGAGGGTAAAGACGAGCATCATTAAAAAAAAAATAAAATAAAATAAAAAACAACAACATCAGAAGCACTAAAATTCACGGCGAAGAAACTTTCTCCAAGCAGTCAAACCTTATTTTAAAGAGAACTCAGCCAACAGCAAGAGCGGCAGAGCCAGAGACAGCAGCAGAAGCAGATGCAGCAACAACAAATAAACTAAACTAGCCCAACCCTAACATTAATATTATGTTAAAATGTGTTGAGTTCATATTAATTGTAGACGACGTAGATTAGAGAAGTTTATTGTCTTCAACGAACGATATCACTAAATTTGGGAGTATTTTATTGCAGAGATATTTGATGTATTATATAAATTAGTTAGGTTTCTAATTAAAGCGAAAAAAATTGAATATATATGAGAGTTTTTAATATCCTTTAAAGTTAGCAATACTTTCTAGGGTGGAATAAAAAAGTATTATATATGATTCCTTTTACATATACTGGTATGTACATAAATATATTGTATTATATCTGATATATATTTGTAGAATCATTCCTCATATATAAAAACTAACAAAGAAGCAATTTAAAAACCGGATTGATATAAAAACACCAATCTAATTTAGGTTGGTAAATATTGTAATAATAAAAAGTAAATAAAATAATACATACAAATTAAGAATATACATATGTATATTTATATTTATGTATATACAAAAATTCCTGCTAAATATTAGTTAGCACCCGAAAAGTCTGGATTATATGTGCTAAAATAACACCAAAATTCAAATGTTCATATTCTCTTGTCTCCTGTTTCTCCTTTTTTTTTGGGACTGGGTCAAGTTGTATTTACTGACTGATTGGGAATCAATGTGGGTCGCTCTCTAACGGTTAATATTGTATAATGAGCACCGAATTGTGTCAAATTTACCGTTACTGTTAGCACCTGCCACAAATATTCGAAAACTGAAATAGTTTTGATTTTTTCTCTTTCGTCTGTTTTCACTTTTAACGTTTTATTTTCTTGCCGAAATTTTGTTGTTTACGTGCGCGACGCGTTGCACACTCGAGCGAATCTCTTTGTAGACTGAACAGCGCCAAGAAGAGCAGAAACAGCGACAGCAGCAGCAGCGACTGATCGTTGGAAATACGTTAACGTCGACAGTGGCAGCGACGTTGGCAGCAAACAAATGCACAGAGCGAAAAGCGGAGAATAAGCTCTGTAAGCCAATGCCATCTGCTTCGCTCTCTGATGCGTAATGCCGAACTAGCTGAATACCCTGGAATAGCCAATATATTGCATGGTTACTAAGAGTAATTGGACTACGAACTGAGTTGAGATAAGATCAAAGGCGGTGTCGGAACAATTGGCAAGGCTATAGTCCGTCGGCGATAAACCACAACTTGATGAAAGCTGTTGACTGTTGGTTAATGGATAAAGGCATATGGTACGACAATTGTTGTATGTACGTTCCATTTCAATTAAGTGCCGGTGTTAGAGTTCAATGTTATGGAAATGCAATGCAAACGTTGTGCTGTTTACGCAATGAGGATGAGCCGCATACAATTGGCTTGGTTTATTTTTAGCAACCGCCACTGGAGATGAGTGTAAACAGTCTAATTGGAAAGTGCTACTCACTGGAAGGGGAATGGAATTTGGGAATTGTTGCGCATCCGTTTGTGTACACAAATCATTCGCTTGCTTTTTTCATTCTACCGAAAGGCTTGAGTCATCGTTAACTTTTTTGTTTTTGCACCTTTGTGGCTACGGGCTAAAGGTTTTGCACTTACTAAGGCTAAGGTATGTACTTATGTATGTACATAGAGGAAGCACGTGTGCCTTTTGTTATGTGAAATGTAATAGTATTATGAAACAAATGAAATGAATTTGAAATGTCACAAAAGATGCCAAACAAACTGAAACCGAAATTAGCTTCTGAATATAAATATAACAAAGATTGCCATTGATTGCCTTAGCTTATATTTAAACTTACTATTGTTTAATAACAAACACCCACACAGTCTCTTTTTATTTTTTTCTAAATTGTTAAGGCTTTCAATTGTCAGAAATTCTGTTCGGAATTCATAACTGAGATATACAAAATGTCCCTTAGCTGCGTACACTAGATATTTAATATTCACATTCACTTACAAATTTTGGTATGCTAGTGCCAACTTAATTGTGCCAAATAATAGGATTAACTAAACTAAACTTTTAATAATTAGGCACGTAGTTTATGGGCGCCTACATAGAGACCGACAAAGGCAGTGTGTACACAGGAACTGTCGCAGTGAACAGCTGTTTCGTAGACAGTGTGTGCACCCTAGCTTCAACCGATATATGCACACATATCGTCATCGCCACTTATCACGTGAATCTTATGCGAAATTGTGAATTATCATTTTTGTGTTGAGTTTCTACCAGAGTCTTGTGCTCCGTTTCGTACGTACATTGTGGGAAGTGCGGTTGTGTTGCTTGATTTTTATTAAAAACAATTTCAGCGCACAATAAAAACTGTGTGTTTAATAATCAACAACGACTTCGACGTGTATTAGTGCCGCTTTAAATGTAAGTGTAACTCAATTTAGTGCGTGTGCAAAGCGACAACGCAGCAAACTGCGCGCATGAAAAAAAGTTGTAACAGGTCTGCTGACCTGTTATCAAATGTTGCACAGTGTAATGGGAGTATAGCAAGCTCTGGAAGTGCCCAATATTCGATTTTCAGCTAAGGCAAAATCAAATATGATTGTGTATATGTGCGCAAATAAAATGACCCTGAAAAACTGTAGCTTTCCTCCATGCCCTCGGATGCATCATGCGTGTGCCATTATAATGAACTGGCGGGCTTTGGCATTCGTTGTATGATATAAAATATGTTAGCAAATTATTCGTTGTTTTGGTTATTTGGGCAGTAAAACCCGTGAGAAAATGAAAATATCGATCGAATAGCTGTCATGTGACTGTCACGAACAGCTGACTGTGCGGCAAACCCACCACCGCTGTACGTATGTGTTTGTATCGAGCTGTGGTGAATTGTTGCCACTGTGCTTTATCGTTCTCACTCTCTTCAAAATGCTCGCTCTGTTGCTGAATGCTGGCCTCTTCTTTGGCTTGCTCTCTCTCTCACTCTCTGCGTAAACAAAATATCAAGCTGTTCAATTTACAAAAACATTTCAACATGGTACAATTAATTAAATTTATGAATTCTTCCGTGTTTCCTTTCACACTGCTGTCTGGCCACACATGCATAAGCTTTTTATGTTTGTTTGGACAAGGACTACACTAAATAGTAATATTGCGTGCCGCAAGGACCTTGACGCAGCTGACCAGATATAAACTTGAAACGAAAAGTCAAACACGCTTCTGCGTTTTTTTTTTTTTTTTTTGCCCAGGCCATAAAACACAAATGTCAGCAGCTGACCAATAACACAAATAATTAAAAAAAAAAACAGCTGCTAGGTTAACACACTTTAAAGGCTTAACAGCAGGCTTCTCTTTTACTCTCTCTCGCTCCATCTCTGTTTTTCTCCGGCTGACAGCTTACATTATTATTAATTAATTTGCCCGCTCGCCCGCTGCCTTTGTACATATACACACAGCGCGTATATATGTATGTCCATATATATATGTATATATGTGTGTATGTGTCCGCCATTAACATCATCACTGTTGTTCTAGTCGGTATTTTTGTTTTCGTCATCGGCGAACGCTGCAATTTCCTGTGTGTCGCGTCCTTTGTAGCTGAACGCTTCTCTCCGCAGACCGAATCGCCTTTTTATCTCCTCCCTCCCATCCACTACATTAGTGCCAGCCGTTGCCCAGTCTGACTGGCGACATGTTCGCCATGCTCTTTGCTCTTCGCTCTTTTATGTCAACATCATTTACGCCTGTTTACAGTTGGAGTTTATAACTGGCAAACAGTGTTGCCAATTTATGTAGTTGCCTTTGCCTTTTTAAGTTCGTTTTTATATAATTAGCTGTGGGAACACTGCGAAATAAATGAAAATAATCTAAAAGCTAACTATTGTTTAAGGCAATTTGCATTTGTATTAATTCGCCTGAATGCGTCACGCTTGACCCGCGGCAAACATGGAATTGAATACATGTATGTATATACATAGTATGTACGTATGCATGTACATATGTATATGTGTATGTACATACATATACGTGTATATTTGGTTATGTTCATGGTGGCATAACTGCCTCCTTCCGGGCGGCTCAGCTTAGTGATTTGTACGAAAGCAATTTAGATTTTGGTGCTAAAAATAGACACGGCTTTGTTGTAGTTGTTTCTTCCACTTCCAGCGGTTGCCAGGCTCTCATTTGTTTCCTGGTTGAGGACAATGCACTGCCTTGAATTTTGTCCTTGTTGTTATTAATATTGTTGTTGTTGTTGTTGTTGTTAACGTTGGGGTTGATGATAAGCATGGTTAGTTATCGCAGGGCGGCAGCAGTCATTATTGGGGATGGTCAGCGCTCGATTTTGTTGTCATTTTGTTTATTTTCGCATACCCTGTAACAGTTTCTGATGGCTCTAACTGACTATCAGTCTATATTATATTTGAAAATATATTTTTTCAATGTTCGTTGTAGAACGATCTTCTATTCCACTTTCATATTTTTCAATGATACTTACCTAAAATATAATTTGTCTTGTTTTTTCTTTGTTTTTCTATTAGTTATTTCCATTCCTTTAACTCTAATTTTATAATCCCTTTCTCACTCTCTCTATCACTCACTCTTCCATCCCTCTCTCTTCCTCTTCGAATTCCTTGACCTATGTTTCTTTTAGGTCTTATATCAGCTCATTTCTTACTCTCTTTTCTTCTTGTTGTTAACGTCTTTCTTTGAGATTCTCATAATTTCAGCTAATTTCAATGAATAGTACAGGGTATTATTTGATGTTTGTTTTTCACATAGTTGCAAACATATGTCTATAGATCTTGGTTTTTGTTGTTTGGTGCTCTTTGAAGGCCATGATAAAGTTATGTAATAATAGTGACTACTACTAAAATGAAATTGACCAAAGTTAGATTTGTATCTCTTGCGATGATTACTCATACGTAAACTGACCTTACTGCGGACAACAACACCAACAACAACAAAGAGAGCAACAACAAAGAGAACAACGACACTTACCAAATTGAAGAAGGCGGCTTGCGTGTCGCCGCTTCGTCATCGATTCCTTCATGGCTGCGCCTTTGCGGCACCAACACAAAATTTCGGTGGCAAGCATTATTCCATATGGCAGTCAAACATCAGAGCGGCAACGGCAACGGCAGCGTCAGCGTCAGCAGCAGCAACTGCGGCGCCAACGGCGACTTTAGCTGCGACGTTCAGCTCCAGCTCCAGTGCCATTTCTAGCGTTCATTTCGCATTGAACCTTCGCCGAGTGCGCACGAATTTTTCCCATAATTTCTCGTCCGCTAGGCCATGCACGTCGCACCGCGTGGCCCGCATTTATACAAATATCCGCCAGATATTTAAGTTTTGCTTTATCAGATTAACTGATTAAAGAGATAAAAAGAGAAACTATGCCTAGAAAGTTGCAGCGCATACGGGTTGAGCAGTTCTTGACTATTTTGTTGAAGCGTAAACAGTGTTAGAATCGTAAGTTGTAGACAACAATAATGCTGTGAATGCTCGCTAAAGTGAACGGTGTTAGCTTAAGAAATACAATGAAATGTGGATTGATTATGTTGTTCTAAAAGAAATATAAAAATTATATAGAATTAGGTTCTCTTTACTATACATATGTATAAAATAAGTATGGTATTTCTAACAAGTAAAGTCACATGTAAAATGTATTTAATTTTTTTTTTTATAAGCAAAAACATAAAACATTTTTTTTTAGAATAATTTTATTATTTTCTTTTTATTTATTTATTAAATATTTAATTTTTACATGTAATATGCTTCACATGCAAGCAGAATAACAACATTTATATAAATCGACTGAAACGAGAATTTACTGTATTAAATGTGCACAGATTGCGTATACGCAGCGTTTTCCATAATTATATAATTAAACTTGCAAATCATTTGAATAACATTTAAAACTACATATAAATTCAGATTCATTATCTGTGTAAAAATCGAGTCTGTATTCATGCACTAGAGCATTCACTGTATCCAATGCGCACATATTGCGTATACGCCATGTTGACGAGTCGATATACAGGACACAAGTCAGCCTGGCGCCAACTGTCTGCGCTTTGTTGTCTAGCAGGCGATACCATCCCCAAAAAAAAATGGAAGAAAAAAAGGAGCTCTGTAATATACACGCGCACAACATGCAGTCACACACACACACTCACACACACACAGATATATTGTATATAGCCTGGCAATGAATTGCATATTGCGGGTCGATCGCATCTAAATGTTAGGCTGACCCACGCTTTCGAGGTCAATAATTAAAATTTAATGCGTGTTTAACCAGTGTTTGTTTGACTTTTATAAGGCCATATATAATATGTAGCTATATATAAATTATACATATCCATACATATGTACATCGAATCGATAGCAAATCAAATTACATAATGGAATTTATTTATGAACACGTTTTGTGTGTGCACAGGAATTTTTAAGGAAGTGTGAATGCATTATACAAGCCAAATCAAATCGAATATATTAGTGTTATTTATATATATAATCTATAATGTATATTTTATATTTTCAGCTATTTAACGATGTCCGAATATTGGATTATCTCAGCGCCTGGCGACAAGACGTGCCAGCAAACCTTCGACACGATGAACAACTTAACCAGCAAGCAACATAATCTATGCAATAACTACAAGTTCCATATACCCGACTTGAAGGTGAGTAGAACTGGGTAGTATACACTGTAATTTGACAGATATACATGCATACTCTTCTTTTAGGTGGGCACACTGGATCAGTTGGTTGGCCTGTCCGATGATCTGGGCAAGTTGGATACGTACGTGGAGCAAATCACGCGCAAGGTGGCCCTGTACCTGGGCGAGGTGCTGGAGGATCAGCGCGATAAGCTGCATGAGAATTTGCTGGCCAACAACAGTAAGTGCTAGCTGTAATATTGATCATATATTTACATACATATCTAGAAATTTATATTAGCTTAGCTTAGATTTAGTTAACAGTTTAGCTGAAACAACTCTCTATATATATTGTTTATTTGATTTAGTTAAGATGTTTTTCTAGCTAATTTTTTTGTGAAACGGAATGCTCAGATATATCAAGAAATATCTAGTCGTATTATTGTCTCTTCTATTACTAACAACAACAACAACTACGTTTAAAGCCCGTTTTATACATTAAGTACACATACCTCCTTTTTATATATACATCCATATATATATATATAGCCTGTTCGACTTGAGTATCAGCCAACATTTTGCTAAATACAAAAAGGATACGAGAGTATTATCAATATATATATGCATATATACATACATATATGTATATGTGTATGTATATATGTCTATATATATCTGTCTTCTGACAATTTGACTAACAGAGCCTCAGCAAATCCAATTTTATATATATCGATACTCGTTTTTTCAGCCAAAAAAATTGATTTTATAACTAAACGATTTTTAGCTGAAATTTAAAGTTTTTTTTATTTCTTTTATATATTTTTTCTATTTCTTAATTTCTTAAATATACTTTTTTATTATTATTTTTTATTTTATTGTATTTTATTTATTTTAATTTTTATTTGTTCTGAGTTTATTTTTATTATGTTAAAACTCATGCGCACAAATCATCCAAAAAAAAAAAAAAAAAAAAAAGAAATTTTAAAAGTGTTTTTATATATATTTAGTAAACAACAATGGAACTAAAGTTGAAACATGATAAACTAAAATAATATATAAAGTCAAAAGAATTTTTCGTTGTTTGTTATACTCGTTCACGTCGTGAAAAGTGAGTATATTTGGATTTTTTTTGTGCAATGTCCGATTGTGCGTCTACATGAAATTTGTTATACATATGTATACTCCATACCGCATATATAGACATATCTGGTAAAGTCACTGAGAATTGGGTTAGAAAAACATTACAATTACATTTTTATACTAGAGCAGAGGTTAATATATCTACACCTATCTTATGCTATATGATTGATATGTATACGACTCTTGGGCAAATCGGAAAAAATTCCATCTCCTATAGTTTTACAGTTAGGCAAAGTAAGGTTTACAATCAAATTTCTAATGATGTTCTCTAAGAAATAGAATTGGAAAAAAACTTCACAAAATATCTATTTTTATATATTCTGACTGAATTTTAGACAATTGAAGCAACGTGGACGAGTATTATGCAGTCGGTTGCGCCCGACTGCAACGTTCTGTTCCTGTTTTGTGTTGCGTTTGTTGTACATTTGCCCCTCTCAAATAACTATACCAAAAATCCACATGCACTTCACATACAAATCTATCTAAATCTATCTGGAATATATATATACATATAGTTAACAATAAAGACATAGACACACACACACACCCCGATACATACACTTGCACACACACACTCAACTTGCAAAAAGGTCGCCAAGAAAAGAGGTGTTATACTACATAAACGAAGCGCTAAAACTCCCTCTCTCTCGCTGAGCTGTTTATCGAAAAAATAAAAAAATACACTTTGTATATTTTACAAAAATTACTTAAATATTGTTGTAAATTCATTTTATTGGTTTTATAAAATATTTTACAATTTTTCATTTAAAAAAATTAGTTGAATTCAGATTAGCTTTAAAATCATCATAAAAGGAAATAAAGTTCTTTAACTTTGCAAAATGTAAAAATATAAAAAAATTTTAGAAAATTTTAATAGAAAATCTAAAAAAAGTAAAATTTTGTAAACATCATGATACATATAAATATATTTTTGTTATTAAAAATATATATCTCTTAAAGAAACGCGCGAATTTTCTTTTTTATTTTTGAGTTTTTCTCTTTCCAAATTTTTATTTACATTTTTACCTTTGATTTGCTTTGATTTACTTAATTTAGGTGCGTGCGTCTTACATACCGAAATGTGAATTGACTAAACTGTTATACCGTATAACAATTAGTACTGTGCTACTTTATGTGTGTGTGAGTGTGTGTGTTTGCGTCTATTTTCATTTGCATTAATTGTTTTTCTGTGCGCTTGTCTCCATCATTTCTAATTTTAATAATTATGAACTGTAAATTTGATATAACAATGAAAAATCTCATCTCTCACTGTCTCTTTATCTCTAAATATATATATATGTATGTGTGTGTGTCCTTGTGTAAGTGTTTTGCCATTCACATGTCCAACTCGCTTTTTATCAGGCATTCACATTGAAAACAAATTTGTACAAAAATAATATAACGCTTTTACACTGTGCAACAAAATTTGATTTAATTTGGTTACAAATTTAAGCGCCAAGCAAAGAAAATCTGAAAAGTCAAGAAAAATGAGAGAAAGCATTTGCCATAAATATTTCTCTTTCCACTGTTGTTCATGAAATTATGTGCATCTATATATATATATATATTTTTTTTTTTATTTATTTTCGATTTATATATTGGTTAACTATCCACAAATATGAGTTTGTATATGTATATTATATGTATGCAAACTATATACATTATAAATATATATCCCAAAATTATTTTAATTTTTCAATTCTTCATTTCTTTTCTTAATTTATTTCGTATATATATTATATATAATATATATACATTTTACTTTTTTGTTTTACTTTGTTATTTTTTTGGCTTTTGTTTCATAAGAAAAACAAACAAAAAATGGAATCGATTATTTGGGTATATAGGGTATAAATCGTTATTTTGTTCGACTCTACATATGATATAGGCCTATTTGAGAGACAACCTCGATTTGTATGCTATACATAGCTTTTAAGTTCATGTTCCAAAAATGTTTATTGTTTTTACGAATTTTGTCCAAAACGAAACCGAAAAAAAACAATCCCAAAAAAAAAAAAAAACAACACCTGAAATATACTGCAACTGCAACTGCAACTCGCTCGTTCCTGTTACCTGCTGAAGGTCCTGGCCCACCTGACGAGAGCATGCCGTGTCGACATCACCAGCGTCTGAAGCATCTGAGCCTGCGCCATCACCGTAAACACCAGCACACGCACCACCAGAACAATCCGCTACACCACCATAACAACCACCACAATCATCATCATCAGTATCTGCCGCAGCTGCCCGCGGATCTCAAGGGTAAATCCAACAGCAACAAATCGACAACAACAACAACAACTACTACTACTACTACTACCACTACCAATACCAATACCAATATGCATGCAGCGCACGCCTCCGCCTCCGCCTCTGCCAACGCCCCAGCCACAGCCTCTGCCTATGCGTCCGCCTCCGCCACGACATCAGCCAGAGCCAGCTGCTCGGCGTGCCAGGTGAGCGGCGCCAGCGGCGGCAGCCTGAACAATTTGTCCCTAACCCACGATGAGTCGGAGCGTGATTTTGATTTTGTGATACCGCCATCGGGCTGTGCCTGCGACGAATGCTACGGGCTGCTCAGCAACAGCAGCAGCGTCTTTGCCCCGCCCAGTGCCAGCGCCACGGCGAGCACACTGATGGCCGACGATTGCTATACCCAGACAGCTTCCTCGATGCTAAATGCCACGCGCTGTGCGATCAACACTGTGACGGCCATAGCAACGGGCAACAGCACTCCGGGCAGTGCGACGGCCGTAACGGCAGCAACTGTTGCTGATGCCAAGGCCAGTTCGGCATCAACAATCTGCTCCTCGGCTTATTTCTCAACGTCGGCGCCAACGGGCAGCAGTTCGGTGCAAAGCATGTCGCGCTCTAATAGCAAAAAGCTAAATAACAACACTTGCAGCATAAACAATAACAAGCTGAGCTTTCGTAGCAGCAGCAGTCAATTTCAAATGCCAGCGCAGCAACAACAGCAGCAGCAGCAGCAGCAGCAACAACATCATCAGCAGCAGCAACAGCAACAACAACAATCGCCATTGCAATCGCCAACAGAAAAGTCGATATGCGATACGGATACGGAGGATGCGGATGATTTGGATGATCCAAAGAGTCCGAATAGCGCCTCCTCATTATCCGAAACATTCGACTGGTGGTTCAATAAGCCGAAGCGTAACTCTAAGAAGTGCAGGTATCCTTTTTATCAACAATTATCTGTAGAACAGTTGCCAAAAAAAAGCACAAAAAAAGAAACTGAAAAAATCTTTGCCCAAACTCCACGCAGTCATTAAAACCCCAACAGAGCTACAGTCATGCCACACAAATACACTGAACGAAAAGAATACACTGTAAAAAAAATGAACAAAAGACAAACTGTGCACCTGCTTTTGCTTGCGCGCTCTCTTTCTCGCTCTCTCTCTCTTGCTCTCTCTCTTAGTCTCTCTCATGCATAAATGTTTGATTTCATTAAGCAAAAAGTTTCGAAACAAATAAATTGCAATAATAATATATTTCTTTTTTTAAATCAATCACCCACTCATCAAACCACCCACCCACCACTCACTCACACACCAACACACACGCACTGTTATACACAGCACACAGACATCCACACAGCCACCGATACAGACACAGCCACCGACACAGCCACAGCCACAAACCCAATGCAAATTCAAACCAATTACATTTTGGCATCAGACATCGCCCACACCGCGCTCTAGTTATCGCTCTTTCTTCAATTCTCTTGCCGATCAAATTTATAGCAAACGTTCTACAACGTCTCAATTAAATATAAACAATGGATTTAATTTAACTACAACACATAGATCGTCACCAGTGAGTAGTTGTTGTGGCAGTAGTAGCCAGGGTCGTTCCAGTCCAGACACGGATCATGCAGCTGAGCCGCCCGAATTTCCACTCAGTCCAGGTTAGCATACCTGGCCATGTCAAATGGCCCTTGGACGTTGCCTCTGTCTTTATCGTTTCTCTTCCTTTGCCTACTTCGTTTGTTGTTGTTTCCTTTTTCGTTTGGTTTTACATTTATTTTCCTTTCTTTTGAGGAACCACTTGATGTTACCTTCTCCTCCTTGCCACCTATGTATACCACTTATAAATATATGATATTATAAATATATGATATATCAACTGATCCACACATGTCTAGCGCTCGCTTGAATTATGATTGTGCAATTGGTTAACTGTTATACGGCATAAGTGTTATACAAGCGCGCGTATCAGTTATGACAGAAAGTCCAATGTCTTTACTCTCTCTCTCTCTCTTTCTGTCTATCTCTTTCTCTTTATTTTGTTTATACATTATTATATATATATATATAAATACACGAAATATATTTAAGGATTTGTAACAGTGTAAAAGCGAATATGTTGTTTTTTCAGTGTACTGCTCACCAAAAAATGTTGTTCTGCTGCGCAATTCATAGCCACGATTAACGCCGATTTCCATTAAGCTCTATATTAACACCAACACACACTTATACACACACACAGATGTACACATACAGAGAGAATTTTTGTGAAATTGTAATTATATTTATTTATTTATTTTTATTATTAAAATTTGTTTTTAAGTTGCTTTTAAGTGTCTAAAGCTTTAGCTTATATAATTTACCTACACTAGACAAACAAAACAAGCTAAAAAAAACATCATACAAAAAAACATTTTGTGCCGTTACGAAAGGTATTTTGTTATTCCTTCTAATTATAATAATACCCATTTATAGTTTATAGTTATTTTCCCAGTTAGCAACTACCTTGTAGTCACACCCCACCCCACCTCTAGTAATCGTAGTGCATTTAATTCTTTACTCGTTTTTGTTATTTGCATTTATTGTTGATTTCACGTAATTAACGATAATTAAGTGTTAATTAATCCTAGTGAGGAGTTGTTAGATTTAGGTTTTGTCAGTTAGAATTACTAAATTTAGGTAGCCAAATCAGCTATATGATTAACACTGATTAGGTTAAACGAAACCTTTTTCAGGAAACTAATTGATAAATATATTATATTTTGATGAGAGTATGATGTGTGACATATTACATAAGTATATATACTCTAAATTATGTTATTTAGACTGCTCCAATAATAGCCTATATCGATATATTATTCCTAAGAAATCAGTGACTATTTCATAGACACTCTTAGCAGCTCGTTATCTCCTGATTCGACTGCTGAGTCTATTTTTCAACAGATCAATATCCTGTACATACTTAGCTTATATAACAGATCAGTAACTCAACCCGCTCAACTTTGCTTATATTATTAGCAAAGTTTCCAACCGAAGACCGTAGACATTTGGTTGTGTGTCTTGGCTATCACGCATTCAAGCGTTATACCAGTTCGAAGCAGTTCGAACAGCAAGCCTAGCTTGCAATAGCTGTTATATAAGGTGTTATAAATTAACTTGATTTATTTTGCTGCATGTTTAAGCAAACTGTTAATTGCACGTTTTATATTTTGCGTTCGTATAGAAATAGCTAATTAACAGACTGTCAAACTAAGTGTTGTAAAAATGTTTATAAATTTGGTTGCCTTTTTGTATATATCTATGTATGTACGTGTGTGTGTATCTGTATGTATGTATGTATGTGTGTGTCTTTGATTTGTGATTATAGACTTGTAAACTTGATCTAATCTAAATATACTAAGTGCAATATTTATTATTTAATTTAATTTTTGTTTGTTAAATACTAACTCAATTAGTTTTTGTACAAAAGGAAAATTTTGTGAAACTCAAGTTTATTTTTTCAATATTACAGCAATACATAATATTTTATTTATTTTTGAAATTTATTTATTTTATTTTTCTTGTAATAGTTCTTTGCCAGTAAAATAATAAATGAAATGAAACATTTTATCAATTCGCAATACTAATCCATCTTATTTTGAAATCTAGCCGAACTACCGCAGTATTTAACGCGTTTCCAATGGGATATGGCCAAATATCCGATCAAGCAATCGCTTCGCAATATAGCCGATATCATATCGAAACAAATTGGTCAAATCGATGCCGACTTAAAAACCAAATCGCAGGCCTACAACAATCTGAAAGGCAACCTGCAGAATCTGGAAAAGAAGAAAACGTATGTCGTTAATTATTATGAAAGTGACTCGACTCACGCATACCCTAACCACAATTTGTACATTGTTATATATACAGTGGCAGTTTGCTGACACGCAACCTGGCGGATTTGGTCAAGAAGGAGCACTTCATACTGGATTCGGAGTACCTGACCACGCTGCTGGTCATTGTGCCAAAGTAAGTTTGGAAGGGGTTTACTCCCATCTCTCCATAACGCTCTGTATAACGCTGTTATGTCATCTGTGCTATTTCAGGGCCATGGCTAATGATTGGTTGGCCAATTATGAGAAGATTACGGACATGATTGTGCCGCGCTCATCGCAGCTCATCAAGGAGGATCCCGACTACAGCCTCTTCAATGTGACGCTCTTCAAGAAGGTCACCGAGGAGTTCAAGCTTCATGCTCGTGAACGTAAATTTATTGTGCGTGATTTCGTTTACAACGAGGAGGAGCTGGCAGCGGGCAAGAACGAGATGACCAAGCTAATGACCGATAAGAAGAAGCAGTTTGTATGTGGAGTCAAACTAGACACTCTATTAAATATGATTAACTATTGTATATACTCCCAATAGGGTCCTCTGGTGCGCTGGCTGAAGGTGAACTTCAGCGAGGCTTTCTGCGCCTTGATACACGTCAAAGCGCTGCGCGTTTTCGTGGAATCTGTGCTGAGGTATACATTGAATTTTACAGAGGGCTGTTCAATATATTGAAACTACTTGTCCTACAAGCTTGAAGTGATACGATAGAGATAATATGCCGCCGGAAACTCATTGAAAATTAAACAAAATATTCTCAACTCTTTTTCTCCAAAAGCTGTGACAAATTTGTTGTAAATTATATTTCATACATCATAAGTAAATTATCATATATCAGTCATCCTGTAACCTATACCACATTATCATTATATAGTATTATAATCAGCTTTACCTTCTTTATAGGTACGGCCTGCCTGTTAATTTCCAGGCCATATTGATTGAGCCCAACAAGAAGAGCGTCAAGCGCTTGCGTGATGTGCTCAATCAGCTGTATGGCCACTTGGATGGTGCATCCGCTGGCGGAAATGTGAGCAGTGCTGATGTGAGTCGTTCAAAATGAATAATTTATGTAAATATTAAAAGTCTCATTTCTCAAACAGAATGTGGATATACCCGGCTTGGGCTTTGGCCAATCTGAATACTATCCGTATGTGTTCTACAAGGTGAACATCGATATGGTTGAGCAAACCAAGCTTTAAGAAGGCAACGCACGTGCCTCTACTTCGCACACACCCACATAACCCCGCACGCCCATACACAGCCACACAGCAATAAATATATAAATACAAATGAAGATCAACAATTTACTGAATATGCAAATTGTATTCACAGCAACAGCTAACACATACACACACAAAAAGAGAAAACGCTGTCTGCTTCCCAAAACAAATCAAGAACAATTCTAATCTGCTCATAACTAAAAAAAAAAAAAAAAAAAAAACAATAAGTGCATATAGTTAAAGATAAAAGGAACAACAACAATAGTAAACCACGCAAACAATTAATAGTTATCTATAAATTAATTTAGTCATTGTTATATAATTATTGTTGTTATTTATGTTACGCGTTCGCTGAATTCCGTTTCCCAAGTTCAACTTATTTTCAACAAAGAAAATCCAAAAAAAAAAAAAACTTTTAAATAATGTTAATCGCGCGTAAGAGAAGCAAAACAAAATTTCCAAAAGTTGTTTGCCTCCGCCCCTCACAAAACTAAAACTGTATAAAAAAAAGTTTCTAATTTGTATTTACAATACTTGCTTCAGTTTTAAACAGTATTTTTTTGTTTGTTACACTTTCTTTCTTTTGTTTGTTTTGTTTTGGCCTTGTTTTGTTAATGCAAAAATATGTAAACTATAACTGAATGATATATTTTATAGTGAACACCCACACACACATACAAATGATGAAACTTAACACACATTGTCACTAAAATCAAGCCGAAAGTTTAATTTTGTTTATAGTAGATACAACATTATTAATAATACAAATAAATATTTGATTTACAAATGTTTCTTCTTCATTCACAAAGATGTGTTTAAACAATTTACCTTGTTTTTTTTTTTCTTTTTCTTTTTAATATCTGTAACTAACAATTAATTGCAAGTCCGACTAAAACCCAACAATTTAAACTAATATTTGATTAATAAGTGTAAAAGGAGTCGCAAAACAAAAGATGCAATGAAATTTCCGCCGGAAAACAAACTATATAAAACCTAAACAAAAGTATTCTATTTATAAATGTTGCCTAGATATCAAGAGTTTATAAAAAAAAAAGCAAAAACAAAATAAGTTTTGCAGATCTTTAACAGAATGAGTTCGAGTTAGCAAAAAATAAAAATAAAATAAATAAAAGAAAACCTTAATATATAAAAGCTTATCTAATTCGAACACTTTGTAGATGAAAACTTTGCACTAATCTAAAGCTAAAAGAGGAAAGAACAATAATAATTGTATGTAAAGTAAAATTTAAATATTAATATTTTCAATGTTTGCTACTGCTACAACAAGAAATCTAAATGTTTAAACAAAATAAGAAAATGCGAAAAAAAGATCAATTTATATATATATAATATTATATATATTTAAATAATATGCATTACACAAATTATGTAAATGTTAATGCGTTATATAAGGTGCGATCCTTGTAAATAATTATAAAGAAAGAAAGACATTCCAACTTTGTTTGTTTTCACTTAAAAACATGGAACCCAACTCCGCCCAAGAAAAGACAGTAAACATATACGAAAGTGCGTCGACATCGACTATACTATATAATATATATTTATGTATATATATTCTATATTCTTGTTTGAACTTTACACAACTAGACGATAAACTAAAACTATTTAATCTAGGGGCCTTAAGGTAAATTATATATTGATCTAGAAATGCTTCAAGTCCGTTTCTATGCTGGCCACATTTGTATTCTGCATCAACTTGATCTTCATGGCGGCCGTGGCGCCCACTGCTTGCTGCAATATGTTTGGAGGCTTGGGTTGATTCTTATCGGCCTCGTATTGGGCTCGATGCAAACGCTGGCGATGCTTATACATATTGGCGCTGCAGAAGAAGGTCATCGGACAGTTGGGACAGGTGTACAAAACTTCGCCGGTATGGGTGGATGTGTGCTCCTGTTGGGGCGAAATTACAATTAGTTAACCTAAACAAGGGGAAATATAAAGAGCTTTGAGCAGACCTTGAGTTCCTGTGGGCGTTTGAAGGCCTTGTCGCACATGGTACACTTGAACTTGCGCTCGCATTCATGACTGCCAACGAGAAGAGAGATTAGTTTATATTCGATCCAAGAGTATTTTGCAGGCTTTACTTGTGATAGATGTGACGACGCAGCGCACGGGCATTTGGGGATAACTTGTTGCATACATGGCAACGATGCTCGCCCTCGCTCTCCACATGTATGCTCTTCATGTGCTGCTTCAGACCTGTCATGCCCTTCAGCCAGGCGCCACAGATTTGACACTGCTTCAGCTCGGGCTCTGGACGTGGGGTGTTTGAGTGCATCAGTTCTTGATGCTTCTTCAGGATGATCTTCGTGCGCATCTGTTTGCCGCACTTGTCGCAAATGATAATGCTCTCCGGATCATGCATGGAGTTCATATGATTCTTCAGCTTGCGTTCAGTCAGGAATCTGCAATGAATCGCGGATTAGTTTAATTATGGTTACCTATTGGATCCCACTTACTTTTTGTTGCACTCGCTGCAGGTGAATTTGAATTCAGATTTGGGCACATGTTTGTTCAGCTTATGATAGTCTATGGCCGTTTTGCTAAGGAATGCCTTGCTGCACAGATCACACTGGAAGGTCAACTTGGACAGGTGCACCTGTTGATGCGACTCCAAATGCCTTGAGTTTTGGAATGACTTTTCGCAGGTGGTGCACTTAAAGTGATCGGGATTCCAATGGACCAGGACATGTTCGGCCAGCACTTTACGTTGCGTAAACTTGCGTCCACAGCAAATCATATAGCCCGGATCCACTTGGTGTGTGAGTCGATGATGCCGCTGCATTTCCGTAAAGTTATGCACTAGAAGATTGCATATGGAGCAGGGCAGCACATCGCTGAAAAACTTGGCTATGATCGCATCGAATTCCTCCTGCTGTTTCTTGCGCTGATCGAGCAGTTCACGGGACATGCGAACTCGCGGCTCCGCTGGCTTGGCACGCTTCTTATATTTTTTGGGTCGGACTGGAGTACGCTTCGGTATGATGGCGAATTCGCCGTCATCCGGCTTGCCAATCGTAAAATCAGAATCGTCATCCTCCTCCTCCTCGCTGCTGTCGTCACTGTGGGCAAGTCCATCAACAAACTCGGCAATGAACTCCTGCTCGTCGTCACTGAAGTCTTCGGGATGTTCCGCTTCTGTCTTTAGACTGGACGGCAAATCTACCGTTTGCTCCGGTTGCGTTTCAGCTGGACTTGGTTTAGGCAAGACTTCGGTTTTGCGTGGCCGCCCGCGACGTTTCTTCGGCGGCTCAACTGTCTCTACAGATTCATTTGCATTAACCTCTTGCGATTCTGATTGGACATTTGCGGTTTCTGCTTCCGCTTTGACACGTTTTCGCAGACGACGAGCGGGCGAAGGCGTCTGCAGACTGCTCGTACCTTCGAGCACTTCAATTTTGGGTAACTGCTCCAGCTCATGTTCCTCTATCTTGACCTCAGGGTAGAAGAAGTTGCGAGCATTTAGATCGGGTGCATCGGTATTGGCCTGCTTGAAGTTCGCCTGGGTCAGCGGGTCATCCTCCATGAGCAACACCTTCGCTTCCCGCAGCGAGCTCTGTGCAGCGCAGACGAAATCGTGTAGCGTGTTGAAAGCGGAAACCGTTGTCCAGCATGGTGGGCATATTTTCCGAGTTTCGCCGCTGCTTTGTATTAGCTCTATCGGAAAATGTTTGTTGATAATTTGCACCACATTCAGTTGGGCAGCCTTTGTCGAAAATACATCCATATAATCATGCAGTGTCAATGGATTTTCCTCCAGGCATAGCAAGCACGGCGTAGCTGCTGTTGCTTCTGTATCAAGGGAAGTTTAATATTACTTCGACACTCTTTAACAATGTTCTACTGCCATTGAAAATACTTACCCATATTTCTCTTACAAAATGTTTACATACATATGTAGAAACTCATTTATTACGCTATCCACATAGAAAAATATTTATGATTTATTGTTATATATTTTTATTATGGTTCTTAATGAGTATTTGGTGCTTAGGGCACTTACAGCTATACGAAATGTATTTTATATTTGTTTCTTTCAAATTGTTCGTAATTTTATATTTTCTTGTTGAGACAATTTGTGGTGGGTGGACGATAGGCAGGCAATAAAGATCCGATACATGGCCGATAAGTGCAGTGTTGCGAAACTATCTTTAAAAAAATTATCGTTCACAATAGTTTATTTAATAGCATCTGCAATGGCAGCAAGCAACTTAAAACATATAAAATATCAACAAATAGCATTTTGTGCTTAAATATACAAAATATTAAACAATTCGTGAGCTTAGGACGAGCGAGAAAGTGTCTTGAACATAGGCTAAGCAGCGTACGCACTGGATTAATGCGCAGCCAGAATTGCAAACGCATTGGCAAACATAAACAATGTGACTTTAATTTTCCTGGATGCTGGAAACATTTATAATTAAGATATATTATTAAGTTGAAAGTTGAAAGCGTCTAATATTCAACACAGGCTTACAACTATCTCATTGAAATCTAAATGCTAAATTATGTCAAGTGACGAGGACATGACGGTTCGTATCTCCTGTTCCTATGTTGTTGTTGCTTTAGGTATAATTATTAAATAATTGCTCTATCTACTTTCAGATCAGTAAGAAGCGTTACAGTGTTTTGCAGAATCGCAAAACCTATTGGTATACAGTAAATGAAATCAAGAATAAATCCATTTGCCCCAGCTGTGGCCGATCCATAGAAAGGTTTAAAAATTTGACAGCGCATGTAAAGCGTTGCTTTAGCATTAAGAAAATCGGACCCATATACAGACTACACGGCTATGTCGAATGCAAATGCGGACTCCTGATAGCTGACAATACCAAGGCACAGAAACTACACGTATGCATGGTAAGTGAAATATAGTACTTGAAAAATCAGATAATATACTATTTCCTTTGCTAGGGTGAAGTGCCGGCCTTTGAGCCAGATTTGTCCTATGTACGCAAACTACCGGAGTCTGACAAAGATCAGGTACAGAATCAGGATCACGAGCGGGATCGAGATCATGAACGGGATCACGAGGAGGATCGTGATGGAGATCAGCAACAGGCGGACGATAATCGCAGCCATCAGTTGGAGCGCGAGCTGCTCCAGCCGAAGCCTTGGATACGCAACTTTGTCTCGCCTTTCAAACTAGATATAGAGAACATCCATGTCAACAGCAAGCCCGAGCCGCGAGTGCGCAACTTCGATATGCCCGTTAGCAAGCGCGAGCCGAAGAATGTGAGCGTCTATTCGATTGGCACAAATAATGGCACAATCTATGTGACTGGCCGAACGTCACAATCAGGCAATCAAAATGTGATTTTGATCAAGAAGCGAGCACTACGATTGCCCCAGCTCAAGGGCTACAAATGCAGTTAGTCAATGAATTGCATTTGAAAAGAAGAGTTTAACTATTTATTCTACATGAAGCGCATTTGGAACACATATTTTGTAATTTTAATAAATAAAAAGAATCATTTATTATATACTTGTAAATTTTGGGGTTTACAACTTATATTGCTTAGGCGTGTTTTTTTTTTTCGTTTTCGTTTATGAATTACAAATATTTAGCAAAAAATTACATCAAATGCGACAATAACTACGTATGTAAATATAAAAAAGTTTTATGCATTAGTTTCGTATAGTACAATATGTGTTTATATTATATATATAATGAATAGTATTTGAATAGTATCAAAAGATCTGGCTAAGAATTCAGCTGTATACTAAAGTTAGTTATTTATAAATTTCTAAGAATTTTCCTTTCTTTTTTTTTTCAAATTTGTTTTGCTGTATATTTAGTTACTATTTCAATTTGTTGTGTAAAATTCTAATGCTTGGTCTCTGGGCTGGGCGGTCCTATAAGTTTTTTTTTTTTTTTATATATCCATATTTCTCGCCTGTATCTAATGAATCTACTACTATATATATATATGTATGTATATAGACAAAACTACTTAGCAGCAAATGTAGGCAAAGATTCTTGATTTTGATTTTGTAGAAAGAGTTTTTGATTTGGCATATGAGTGTATATATATATAGTATCGTATAGTATAGTATGTATATGAAGAGAAGCTTTTGTGCTGTTTGTGCTACACAGACAACGGAGAGAGTTTATGGATGTGACGAATGCTTTTTGATTTTCTGTTTTTTTTTTTTTTTTTTAGAACAGACAGCTCCAGCTCTATTTTAACACTGGCTGTGGCAGGCGGCCGTAGTTATGGGCGTGACGGTTGGCCACAATCTAAATGCGTTCGGTCACATAGACTTTGGCAGAGGCAGGTGCATTGGTTCTTCGCACGGCAAAGGTGACAATAACGCCAATCAGAATGAGAGTGACGCCCATCGCAGTTGTTATGTAATGCTCAATCATGCGATTATCGTCGCTGCAAAGAGAAGCGATTTGAATACGAGAGTTCTTTGGAGTTCAGCTTGGGACTCACCTTAGTGTGGGATCCTTGGCAGTCTCGCGTTCCTTCTCGATGATGCCCGTCACAGCGGTGGCTATGGCCAGCCAGAAGTTGGCCAAGCCCAGGCTGGCGTGTATCGGCACCATGGCCGAGCGACAGCTGTAGGTTTTATTGTCGCAGCAGAGCAGCACCAGAAATCTAAGACGGAAGAGGTTAAAGACCATAGAGATATGCTTGGGCAACAGCTGCGTGGGAGACTTACGTTAAGAAGCCAATTACGAACTGCAGCAGGAACATGCACATCGTCACGAAGCCCAGCCATGAGTGCAGGCTATAGAAATTGATCTTGGCCATTGCATTGTGCGAGTCGAAGACGGAGAGGAAGCCCATAACAATACAGGGTATTGCGGCAGCATGAAAGAACATGTGAATCAGTTTCACATAGATGTGCTTGACACAGCGGCACAGACGATAAACTAAGATAGCTGAAATGATATATATATATAAGATGATATATCTGATGATCCACATCTAGCATGTTCAACTTACAGAATCCAGATAGCGTTACGAAACCCGCTATCATCAGAATGGGATGCAAGTTGAATTGCTTCAGTGGCTTTTCCGACCAGGCGAAGCCGCCGCGATAGAACATCACCCAGAAGAGTGCCAATATCAAGACACCCACCAGTAATATGGTAGAGAGTATTACGATTAACAAATATTCACACCAGGAACAACAGTTCCAGGCATTATCTGGATCCTCCTCATAACGTCTGCAATGATACAAAGAAGAAGGGGAGAGATTTTCATATATAAATTGAATAAGTTTTAGATCAGATTTACTTTTCACTTGGTTTACTCTTTCCGAGTATGGCTCGATTTAGCACATCTATAAAGTTGCGATCAATTATCTCCATAATTGTTTATCCGAGTTAAGCCTGCTATCTATCTATATGCAAATATATGTGTGTATATAGGATTTTGTTGATTTCAGTTAATTGCGTTTGCTAATTCAATTATGTAAAAGATCTTTAGTCTGACTGTCTCCCTCTCCCATCTTACATAATTACAGTTTGCCCGAGTCTCTCCCTCTCACTCGCACGTCTTACATAATTACCTACAATTTCTCTCTTAATTGCTTGATAAAGCAAACATTTCCACAGACTTCACAGCACAAAGGCAAATCTGAACAACAAATAAAAACTCTAGCAATTATCTAATTTGTTCGCTAATTGGTTCAGTTCTTTAGCCTCGACATCGTCATCATCTCAGACTCAGACTCAGACTCTACCTCAGACTCAGACTTATTCAAATACAATTGAGTTAGCATCGCCTTTTGTACTCATTTTCTTACTGTTCTTTTTTTAAATATTCCTTTATTTTCTTGTAGCCTTTTGTTTCTTTTAAATAATCCGTTATTTTGCCCATGGGGATTATCTAATCTGTGTTCCTTTTTTTTGTACTTTTGTTTTTGTTTTTTTTCTGTATAATATTGTTTGTGTGTTTGAAAAGTTTTACATATTTTATGATCACATTTGGAAAGCTTACTGAATATTAGGGTATAATGGGCAAGTTGGAACCTTGTCTAGGTCTCGTTTCAGCGGTTACATAAGAGTGTATATATAATAAAATGCCAAATACGGCCTATGTTTCGAAAGGGTTTACTTTAACGAGCGATTCTATCCCTAATCAAAAGTTTGCTATTAATTCCCAAGCTGAAACCATGTATATAATTATACTTAAGAACATATAAATATTTCCATTGATCGAGAGATAAATGACAGACAATTTCAACGGCACATGCCAAATTTAGCTAAAGAAAAAAATAAACTTTAAGCAAATATATCATATTCAAGATATATGATATATGCCATGCTCATGTAGAACGGAGTTCTCAATTGTCGCTTGAATTTTATGGAGCATATGCAATTCGATGCCAATTAAAATGTTATTCACATAATAAATAATAATAATAACTTTTCGTCATCATTCGCGTGTGATCAGATGACAAAACATTTCGATGGCTGAAATGGAGATGAGCTCAGCATCCATAAGCAGATGCAGCATGGAGGAATGGGTGCTCGCTCATCTTGTCGTACTGTGAAATTTCTCACAGTGTTGCTGCCGAATCACAATTCATATTGAATGCAACGAGCAGCTGTTGCAAGTAAACAGACACCAAATGTGGAGTGCAGTAGCTCAGATAGGATAAGTGGGGGAGGGGGTCTGTCTGGTGGTGTCTTTGGGGTCTGTGGGTAATTAGGCGCATTGCTGTTGGCCAACGAGCTGCTTAATCATCTCCAAGTGCAATCGCTGCTGCACTTGAAGTGACAGCAACAAGCCAATCCACAAAACGAAAGCAACAAAACAAACAAAATCATTATTGTTATTATTTAAATTAATAGTGCGCAAAGCCAAAGAAATCACTCGGCGTCTGATAATGAAAGCAAAAGCCAAAGCATTTATGAACAACACAATGATAGTGTGAGGGTAATTTATAGTGGAAAGTGTGACACTAGCCAATGCCCTGTAGTGCATATCTCAATCGCATGGTGCTCTCAATTGCTTACTAGTCTTACGTAATACCCTGTAATCCGGGCTCAGCTATCGTAATGAAACTTGAATTCTTCTCTTGGCTTTTTCTTATGTCATTTCTATTCTTCTCGCATCTATTCTTCTATGAATGCGATAGCAAAGATAACAGTTAAATGTTTCTATATAGATAATTAGCGTCTTTCATTTGAAGACTGATCTCAGTGAAAAATATTCTTGTCGTAGATATTTCTGTTGAGCTCATTAGAACTTTTATACCATATAAGACAACCAACATATTCTACGTATGCTCTGTGGCGGACCAAATGTCCCTGCAGTATCTGGGATGCTGTATAGGACTTACATAAAAGCTCTCACAATACTCCAATATTCACCTATAAATAAAAGTGAGTCTAAATCTGCTTTATCTGCCAAATCGATAGCCAATCTAACTACCCTTTAACACTATTAATGAGTGCAGGGTATTTAAAGACAGCTTGTTAAATAGCCTATTTAGGCACGCACTTTCTCAGCAGTTTCTGTGTGTGTGTGATTGTGTTTGTGTGTGTGTGTGTGTGGCAGCTAGCTGTGGACAGTGGCTGAAATTATTAATTGGGTTTTGGGTTTTTTAATATCACTTGCAACATTTTGTGATACGCCGCATAATAAGCGCTTTAATTAACATGTTGCCGCAGCATCCGTCTGACCGATCGACCGACAATGTTGTTGTTGTTGTTGTTGGCGGCTGTTGTTGTTGCCCTGACAATTTCATTAGGCGCGGTGCAGCCGATGCATCATGTCTCAGCGGGCGATGTCAATGAACGGGCGAATGCACAGCACAACAATTTAGATGTATGAGTGTGTGTGTGTGTGCATTTGTATATGTATAAGTGTAGAGGCATTTAGCTTTCAACACATGAGCTGCTTGCGGGCAGCCGAACAGGCTGTTTGCTTTAACACACATTTCACTTGCCGCCCAAGTGCAGCAGCAACAGCAGCAGCAGCAGCAGCAACAGCAGCAACAGCAGCGACAGCGGCAACAACAACGACCACAAATTGTTTAGCAACCACAATGGGCGGGGGCAGCGGCTGCGGCAGCTGCAGCTGCAACTGTTGTATCTGCATCTGCATCTGCATCTGTGTATATATCTCTTTCACTTTTTTTCACCCGTCTGCTCTGGGAAAATTTCGCTAAAAGCTTTGGCTTTTGCTTTTGCTTTTGCTTTTGCTTTTGCTTTTCAGCCACAACTCGTTTTACATAGTCATGTGGCAAGTTGCAAGTTGCAAGTCGAAACCTGATCATGAACCTGCAACCGTGGCTTTCAACGTGCCTCCAGATGAATTTAATGCCAATTGTTGCTAATGGGTCAGCAACTATTCGAGGTGCTTGACACTGCGCCCACAACAACAGCAACAACAATAACAACAACAACAACAACAGCAGCAGCAGCAACAGACATGACTGTAGACTGTCTGGTGCCTGGTTTGTTGTTTAATGAAGGAAAGCTAAAATCTTAAGTTGACAGTTCTTTAACCGCAACACCAACAACAACACCGACAATAACAACAACAACAACAGCAACAGCAGCAGCTCCTCTTTAGCCATAGCGAAAGCAGGCAAAGCTTTAATTAGTTGTAGATTGTCTGAGTCATTATTTTGATAGCCATAAATTGAATTGAATACAACTGAATTGCATGTCGTATGCATATAAAATCCTACTATATGTAGAAGCCATATATGACAGTATATACATATGCATAACAATCCGTAGATCTCAGTTCAAGCTCTTCAGATCGCATATAGTGTAATATCTATATTTCTTTTCCAACTTTTTCAAGCAGTATTATTATGATTGTTCTATTATATTATGCGGCAAATATATTATTATTATTATTACATTATAAACACTTATATATTCTCTATAGCCTATGTATTTATTCCCAGGTGACCAATTGATGTGCTTGATTCAACTAGAAACTCACTCAGCTTCAGTTGTTATATTTCTAGCCTAAGCCCTTACGTTATGTGTTTTACTGGTATATCTTTAAACCTAAATAGTATGATGACTTTTTATTATCTAATATATCTAGCTATGTCTTTAGTACTATTTGATATGCAGATCTGGTAAAGCTTTATGGCTAAGGTATACAGATTGCATTCTTAGCATATGCTTCTTGTATCTATAGCGGAATAGGTGCAGCAATAAAAGTTCTATACTTTGTATAGCAATACTTTGTAACTCTCAATTTTTGCACTTTTTTAATTGCACAAAACCCTAGGCTAGTCCATAAATCATATCGCACCTGCTATATGTCTGCTAAGCTATGTGATCTTTATTACCTTCCGTCTTTTTTGGGTGTGGGTAAAAATTCCAAACTTCAACTTCTATTTTCATAAGTGTAGTATAAGTATAAGTAGTATAAATATACTTGTAAGTATAAGTTTACTTATAAGTATACTCGGAAACATCATTTTCAGCACAAGTATAAGATGAATATGATATAAGTATAAGAACAGAATTTGTTTGAGGGCATTCAAAGAAACTTAATTTATGATATATGTTAACATTTTGCTGCAGCTACTAAAATAGACTTTTAGTGAGTAAGTATAAGGTCAAGCATAAGTCTGTACATTAATGTTTAAAAGGTTATCAACATCAGCTTATCATAAGAAGAACCTACATTTTTGCTTTAGTGATCAGTCCAGTATGAAGTATAAGTGCAAGTACAAGTACACATAGGCAGACGTATAAGTAGGAGTATAACAGCTGAGAGGTTAGCAAAGTAGATTAGGCACCTACATTAACTAGATATGATGTCCATCTAGTCCCTTATCTTTGGACAGACAGATAAGAACAAGCTAATGCTCAACAGCTACAACATGTATCTCGAGATACAAATGTATCTGGGCGTTGTGCGCCATAATTAGCGCCCAAGCACTGACTGGTCTTTAGCCAAGTAGCTCGCCCAGTTGAAAGCGGGCTAATTATGGCGTGGTATGGATTGGATGGCACCGAGGAGCGCAAAACCAAACTGGAGCGCGACTCGCATCAGCTACTTGTGGCATAGATACAAATGTATCTGGGCAAGTGCTGCGCGATGCATTTATAAGCCGGCAGCAGGAAGCACACATTGAGGATGTGACAAATTACGAGAATACAATTAAAATTTAAGTACGTTTGTAACGAAATTAAAACATTTGCGCGCAAGCATGACGAAACCGCAGAAGAGAAGATGGAGAAAAGAAACAAAAATCATAAAACAGACGCTCGCAATGTGTCCTGCGGGTTAATTATGTACAAGCTAGACTGCAAGCAAATATCTGTATGTGTGTGTGTGCGTGTGCGTGCATGTGTTGTTGGTGTTGCTTTACAATGGGCGACAATTGTTTACGAACTGAGCGACGTCTCGGGGAGTTTCAATTGAAACATTTTCGTGCTTCGTTTTGTTTAACGGCAGCTTCTGTTACGCCTGCATATGTGTGTTTGTGTATATTTGTGTGCATGTGTGTGTGTTGCTGTGTGTACGGTAATTGTATCTTAAAGATACAATCAAATTCGCAGTACCAGAACTCGACACGCAACACACACGCCACACACTGGCGCAGTTGCCCTGCAATTTATTCATTGAATTATTGTATTTATTTATATTCATATACAAATACATCGAAACTTATAAACAGTGCTTCATAAAGTTTGTCTTATTGGAATTAAGAGCCAGGCTGCTTGGCTTTAGCTTGCCTTAGAGTACTCTCTCTCTCTCTCTCTCTCCCTCTCGCTCTCGATCTCGATTTAGAGTGAGCTCTGCCGGCATATATGTAAGGAATTCAATCTACATCTCGAGCAACACATCATTTATCAATTTAAATGTACGTATGTGTGTGTATAAGCGGGTGCTTAAGATGCAGGGTGGATCGAAGAGTTGACAAAATATAATAAAATAGTTTAGTAAAGTGTAGATTATATGAGATAAAATTTCTTAATACCAAAGCAGCTGATATGTCACAATGCTACATCATGATGTAAGCAAGTATCTATTAGAATTTCGTATCAAGCATGGTAAAATAAGCTTAGATCTTTGAGTATTTCTCATGGCACATTGCGATGTAAGCTAAGTTCTATGAGTATTACTGCTAATACATCATTATATATAAGCTGTGGCCTATCTGTATTACATAAACATGATGTGTGAGCAGTAAACCTTATGATATTCACTTATGTAAACAACGATGTACATAGACCAAGTTGCATCTATGAGGACTATCCATATAATATACCTTTCTGAACATTTTATTTTCTCAGAGTATGTTCATATGTTACATCACGATGTAAGCTAAGATCTAACAGTATCCTTCACATATTGTTTAGTATATTATTAAATATAATCAAATATTTGTTTGTCTTGTTTTGGCACGTGAACAGTCGTTCCAATTAGCACAAAAATATAAACATGTTAATAAAAAATCTAGATGTAGAGCTATACTAATTTTGTTAGATAACCTCGTGCTGTGTTTAATGAACAGCCCTCGTCGCATCGCACTTACGCTGTTGTCGTTCCTCCGCGCGGCATTTTGCCCAAATGACGTTCACGCATTTAAGCGAATTTATGTAGATGTATGTGCCTTGTGTTTAGCTTTTGTTTCTTTCGCGCTCGATCACACAGAGGCGAGCACACGGCGTATACGTAATGTATAGATCAAAATTCGAGAGATGATGCTAGAGATTTAACAAGCTTTTATTTGTATTTAGTTTTTAATTTCTGTTTGGAATTTCCCACAAATTATTATTTAAGTTCTCTGTAAAAATAGATGTATTGACACAAATTAAACGTGTTGAATTCGCAACTGAGAGGAACATTTGACAACGTAATAAATACTTATATATATGTACGTGTATATACATATATAAATCAATCTGACATTTGGTGAATTGACTTGCTAATCAGCGCGTTAATTGGTCAGACATTCTAGCTGTTCAGAAACATAGCCCTACTAGGCTGAATTTGATTCCTCATTGATTTAAATTCCATTTTCAGTTGCAAATACAAGAAATTTAGACATTTATTCGTGTTTTTTTTTTTTGTAATTTAATTCAATTAATGTCTGATGCATATGTAAATGACGGTTTCTTTGTATTTATTCAAACTTTCGATTTCTCGTGTAACGATCATCCATTGATAGCTTTTGATGTATCTATCAAACAAAAGGCAGACACGGTCTAAGCACTTTCTACATAAGAGCGCAAGGTTATTGTTTATATTGTCTTTTGTTATTTTTGTAAGTTTTGTTCTCCACACACATTTAGTTTTATTTCTTTCTATTTTTTTTTTTTGTAATTTTCTCACGATATTTATTCAATATGCCGGCTGCTGCAACCTACGCTCGATACGGATCAACGGCGAATGAACTACTGAAAAATCAACTGAAAAATGCTAGCGATAAGCTGAGAGCGCTGCCGCATCGAGAGAAAGAGAAAGAGAAATGGCGAGCCTATGTTAAGAGAGCTTTTCTTATGGTAATGCAAATCTTGGCGATTTTAATAAACCTATACTCATTATACTAAGTTTATATATTTCTTTAAATATTTTTTAAGCTCATATATCTGTATAAATAAATTTTATAACTTTATTAATATGTTAGCAATGCTAAATTAGCACTAGAAATTGTACATTGTACATTTCAAATCAAAGACACGTTAACATTCGGTGCTGCTGTTAAACTCAAAATGGCACTGTCAAATGTGTAAAGAAATGTTGAATATCGAAGTTCGAAATGCGTACATGATCAAGCATAGACACAAACCAGCTAGTACGTCTAGTGCGAAAATATGAAATTGAATTATGCTTGAATATAAATATAAAATTTGTAGTCAGAGAAAAGTTGTAAAAAAAAAAAATATTTTAAAATTCTGACTAACAGAAAATGCTAAAAAGTTTCTGTCAGAAGATTAAACTTATCTTTTACAAACGCTCGTGACCTTGTCTTAAAGCATGTGAGCATATTTTTTTAGACTTTTAGGCAAATACTGTAAAAGATAAATGTATTTGCTTGAGTTTTGACAAATATGGTAAATAAATCTGTAGTTTAACTGCGTGATAATAAAATCTTAGATATAAAATATGGTATACTAGATAATGCTGCTTAGATAATCAAAATGACACACTGACAACTTAACTAATCTAAAATTCTATTAATAGAATAATGCAGGGGCTATTTTTTATATATGAATAAATAAATTTACTTTTGAAGAGCAATCAGAACAGCTGTTAAGCAATCATATATGCGCTATATATTTATAACAAATGAACTTGGTTAATGCTAAATGAAATTGGAGCAGTTCTTAGAGCTTGTCAATTACAAAGCGTACAGTCAAACCTAGCTATGAACGAACACACCCAGCTAATGCGTGCTCATTACACATGGAGCCGGGCAACACGAATTCAGTTCCGTTCAGCGCGCGCCCACAAAATCGAATTCGAAATGAAATGAGCAAAAAGGCCAACAAAATATGTGTGCAGTAATTACAATGGGGTATGGGAGCAGTGGGAGCGAGGTCATGGGGCAGGCCAGTCAAACAGGATAAAGGATGAAGGATGAAGCGTGTTTTGGCTGGCGTCAACTGGGCGCACGCACGCGATCAACTGTTGAATGTGTGCGTGTGTAAGCAGGTGTGTGTGTACAGGTGTGCTTACAGGTGTGCGTGTGTGTGTGTGTGTTCGTTCCATATATCTCTTTGGTCAGTCTGATTTGCGAGCAACGCGAATTAAAATAGAATTTACGAGCGACTCTGTGTACACGGCTTAGGAAATTGGCGCATTAAAAACAGAGAAAGGCGTAAGGCACATGCCCCGCCCACCTGGCAGCTGGCTTAAGGCGTGTCACCAACGTTCGTAACGTTCGTTTCCTCTATTTGAAATGTAAATGTTACACTTTGGCCATTACGGCACGATTAATGAGCGCTATTTTAACGAGTTCTTTTTGTTTTTATTTATATTTTTTATTTTGACGACAGCTCAGGACGAGGTCAAGGCAGGGCTTTCGCTTAAATACCCCAAATTGTCGGGCTAGACAACGCCAAATTGCTACAGTCGCAGCTCAACGTTGTGGCTTTTCAATTCAACTTGACACCATTTTCATTCAAATATTTATAAACACAGAGAAAACTGAGCTGCAAATTGAGTTGGGCTGAGTAGAGCAGCGAAGCACAGTGAGTTGCTTATGTAATTTCATAGCTGATATAGCAAATTGATCTGCTAGACATGTGTTTGCAAGAGAAATACCATATGGTTGGTTATGTCAACAAATACCCTGTAAAATCAGCATAAATTGCTAATGAAATTACAATTGCTTTGCGACGTTTTCTACTTCGAATTGCTTCAGATTCAAATTGTTTGGGTTTGTGTACCTGCTAAATCACTTGTACGTTTGTTTTGCAGGTTGGCTCAAGACTTTGCTAAATATAAGTAAGCATTACAAAAATGCATTTGAAATATATTAAGTTTGATTTATTACTAAAATGCAATATCCCAATAAGCCACTAATGCTGAGCAGCCAATTCGTTCATTAAGGTAAAAGCAAAAGAACAAAGCACTTTAAGACGCGGATTAATATAATATTCATATCTTAAAATACATTTTTATTACCAATAAAATTCTTTAGATATTCAGATACTTGAACTCACTTTTCATCTGGCGGCGGTGGCATTTCATTGCCATTGGGCGTGCCGGGCGGCGTCTTCTCATTTTCCAGCGTCAGCGGCGGCAGAGGACTCACCGAATTGCTATCCATGTGAAAGCAATCAATGTCTGATAGTTAAGCGAGCACCGATGATAGCCTGTTGAAAGGATGGAAATATTAGCACTGGCTGGGCTATCAAATTCAGAGCAACAACTGCAGCCAGATAGACAGTCAAACAGCCAAACAGACAGCCAGACAGACAGACAGAGAGGCAGGCAGCCAAAAGGCATTCAACACAGGATTCTTTTGAATTCTATGCTGTGCTCATTCGGGTATTATCGGGGTATATTAGTTTTGTATTTTGTGTGGTTGTAGCTGGTGATTGTAGGTTTTTCAGTTGATATGTGCATCCAAAAATACATAACTGATCGATCACAACTATATCTTCGCTTAGAGCTACTAACTTTTATGGCTAGATCTAAATAGAGGGTATCTACCGAACCTTGTCTTTAATACTTTTTACCCTTATATATATCTTTCTTAATATTTTCTGCAGGCTTTTAAGGCATGACAAACGAGTGTTATGCAGACATGCATTTCCAGCATTTTCTTTCATTTTTCATTTGTGGCTCATAAAAATGTTTTTCCACAATATTTAGTAGCGGCTAAAATCGGAGTCAGAAACTGCTGCCGCTGCTACCGCTGATGCTGCTGCTGCTGACAGACGCAAACGCGAGTGCTGTCGGCAGTCAGGCAGTCATTCAGTCAGGGTGCAGGGTCTGTCACTCGTTTAATGTGGGGGCGCAGAAATCTCAGCTGCGCCTGCGGTTGGGCAGGCAACTGCCCCCATGTAGCCAGCCGCTGGTGATGAATAGCGGCGCCTTTATATGCCACTTTTCATTAGGAGGCAGCCAACTACATAAATAAGCGAGTGTGTGTATGTGTGTGTGTGGGTGACTGTGGGTACATATGTGTATGCATATGCATATGTGTATGTGTTTGCGTGTTGATATGAATGAAGCTGTGGCATATCTTTGAATGAATTGTGCAGCGAGTGCCGCCGATAAATGATCCAATTTCGCTGCCTTTCTCCCTCTCTCTCTCTATCTCTGTCTCTCTCTCTGATTCCTCTCCTTTCCCCTCTAAACTTATGCTTAAAATGGAAACTGAGTTTTATTTTGGGATATTTTGTTGGAGCATGCACAAAATGCTCGTCATGTGTGTGGAGTGGCCCAAAAGGTAAAACTGCAGCATCAACATATTTGCTCGAGTGCATTGCACTTGAGCTGCACTCAGTGTGTGCAAAACAACAAAGGGTACATTGACTACCTAGTGAAGCATGTAACACTCTGAGTAGAGATTGTAAGCAGAGCAGCGCAAATGATTAGGTAATACAGAGGAGCAAGTTCAAAACTCTGTCTATTGAAAATCTCTGCTTGAGTGAAAGTTTTTTGCAATTTCAAATATTTTTCTGGGAAGATTTTATAATTTAATATATTTTCTTTATGTATGTTGTTAATATTATATTAATAAATATTTAACAGTATAAATGAGCTACAACTCCATAGAAGAATGCAATAAAATTAACTTCCATATCTCCCCTCAAGTAAGCATGCAATTCTCTCACATGAGTGCATCTAGTAGTCGGCATTACCTATACAAAACTCTTTTTCTTTTGTTTGCCTTTGCTGAGTGCGCCGTGGCGGTCGTAGACGTGTAAAATTGACTATCATACGTCCGAGTGGGTTCTGAGAGCGCCAATTTCCGACGTGGATGTCGCCAGCTATCGCAGTTTGATTGAGTTCGCCTCCAACTCCTACTACTATTTCTACTACTATTCCCACTACTATTGTGTGAGCCACAATAATTATGCCTGAGTACGTGTGCGTATGTTCCATTTATTGACAGTTCATTGAACTCGGGCCCAGCGAAAGGCATTTGATGGACACTTGAATGCATTCAATATGCTGGCACCCCATCTCTCGCCTCCTCTCCCTCACACTCTCCTTCTTCGCACTTAACTTCCTTTTCACTCGTCAGGTTTTCCTGGCAAACGCCCTGTCGTATCGCTTTGCATAATCGACATGTGTCCATTTCTCACGCCTGACTTGGCCAATGGCCAATGGACAGTTATAACTGTATTGTAGTGTCCCGGTTTCCTTTATTTACCTAATGTCCATGTTTTTTTTATTCTTGGAAATTCGATTTGCTTCGTGACACTTTTCCTACCTACAAATTGTTAATCATCCCACGTAAATAACTATATATAGAGCCTAATCAGGAGTTAAACACTTTGTTTGCATTAGAGAAAATTAGTGGGTACTACTTATAGACTATCCTATATCATACATACACCTAAATAAAAGAGGCTTCAGCTCAAACTTTTATTCAAAGTGCCTCAAAGTACTTCCCTTAGTCAATTTTATTTCTCAAATTAATATAGTCAAATCCTTTACTCTTTGTAAAGCTTAAATTTGATTTGGGTATACAAATCTTAAGTACTTCTTCAGGCATCTCAAATAATTCTTGTTCATGTCGACTGACACATTCGAATTCCCCGTCTTTCTCAGTTCATAAAACTAAGCAAAGTCATGCCACTTTAATCTCTAGATCTTTTAATTTCAAGAGGAAATACACACACACACACGCACAAATTATAATTCCAATGCCATTTCCCAATTGTTAACTAGAGTCGGAGGATTGCGTGAGGAAATTCGTAAGATATAGCTAAGCGCTTATTGCTCGATGGCCCCAATTGTTCCAACTGCTGGGCGCCCACATATCGAAGCGCAGACCCCATTTGATATAGGAAACTGCATATTATGCAATGCGGCGTAACTATTTCCGTAACTACAACCGTATCTGAATACAATAACTGAAAAGCATTTCGAAAATGGTTTACCGGATACGCACTTAAAGAGCCATTTGCTTAAATCTCCCTTTAATATATAGATGAACTAAGCATATGTATCTGAAAGGTATAATCCAGCTACTTCTCTGCGGCTTGCTCCACTATATAGTAGTCAAGCTAATCCGATTAAGCAAGGCTCACACACAGGCACAGCTCGAAAAAAAAAGTTTATTTTTGTTGTGAAGTTTGGCCAATTGCAGTAGTTGTTTTGGCTGATGCTGCTAATGCTGCGGATGCTGCTGCTGCTGCTGCTTCGGCTGTTGTCTTTGTTTTCGTTTTTGCTCTGCTGCCAAACAATTCAAATAATCAGTCGTCTTTCTATAACCTACCCCAAGTTTTTATGCAGTGCGCAATGTGCGAGCTATGCGAGAATGCAAATAGCTTGTTGACTTAATAATTCAATTACAATTACAATTTGTATATAAATATATTCACTAATTAAGTGCGCCACTGCCGTATGATTAAGCTAATCGAGCTGTGAATTTATCATTTCAGCTAAATGTGCAACCGCCCGATGTCCGCTGTCCGATGTCCGATTTAAATCTGAGAGCAAACCCGAATACTGCGCCGTCCACTCGCCTCGAATGCTGCGTCCGAACTAAAGTGAACTAAATCGCTTGCCGGCTGCCGGCAGCGGCGCATTTCGAATTTTCGAACTTCGTCTCGCTGCGGCGCTTTCGAACTTGGAAGCGCGAGCACACACAACTGCGTGTCGTGGTACGAAAGCAATGAAAATTGGGGGAAATTTTTGGTAATAGAAAAAATATAGAATTGATAGTAGATATAAGGCGGTTTACAAAAGAGCTTAGCACTAGTAATATTAAATACTAGTAATTCAGCTAGTAGGTTTAGAAGGCTGTCATTGATAAACCATTTGGAAAAGATTTAATGATATGTGAGCAATTCTTATGGTTTGTCAGTATTTAAAATCCGATTTCGGAATATGATGTTTTTCTGTATGTAAAGCAAGAGTCGGTTTGCTTACAGATTTCCTTGCGGTCCAGATAGTTCAATCTGCTATTGTTGCTGTCAATCAATCCAAGTATATAGAGCTGTATCGCCCAAGCAGTTAAAATCCTTAGAAAGTTATGGTAAGGGAGAGTACAATAAAGTAGTTGAACAATAGCCAAAATACAAGACCGTATAAGTTGTAGAACGAGTGGATCCAATCTTCAGCCTGAATCTGCAAAGCATACTCAGCTTATTAAACTTCCCGACTTATAGCTGGGTTTACATTTTCGATTGAATAATTAAAACACACTCAATCTTTGGAGTTCTCGATAGATTTTATTGAATGTATTATACATGTAGACAAAGAAACTAAATAAAGGAACTAAAACACGCGACTCTATGATTAACATCGAAACACTTTCAATTGACAATTCTGTAGTAGATACAAGAATATATAAATTTACAAGTCACACACGTAAACATTATGTATATGTATATGTTGTATATATCGTATGTATATATGGTATATATAGCAGTGGGATATCTTGTAGATTTTTAAATACATTTTATTGTCATTGCTTTCAATGGTTTGTCTGGATTCCAGCACGGATCTTCGAATGCTTTTCTAAAACCCTACAAAGTACAAATGCCGTCTATATTCGCCTTGATCAGAGTAGCATTAATAAGTATATATGTATATATGTGTATATAATATATGGTATGTATGTTGGGCTCACAAGTCTGAACAACTCGGATAGCTAACTAAAATTGTATATTAACTAAGTAGATGATTAAGAAAATAATTTAAGCGAGATTCTATAGGTATGTATATATTTATATATGTCTATCCATAGGTCTCTAGAGGCCGGGCTTGGTCTTGTCCACGCTGGTGCCGCTCACTGTGCTGCCGTCCTCCGAGGAAACGGGGCTGGGGCTACGTGGCTCCGATACTGTTGGAATGGGACTGGATATGCCGCTGGCAACTACATCGTCCGGATTACAGGGCAGCTCCTGAAAGGCACATTCATATCCACATATATAGGCAAGAAACGGAGTTTATCTAACCTGCAGTACTCACCTCATCAGCTTCGGTCTTGGTGGTGACGGCGTCGGACATGCACTGCTGCGGCGCATCCTTGGCGTTCTCAGCCCACTTCTTCAGGTACTCCACCACATCGGAGTGGTTGAAGTTTTCGGCCTCGTCCACGGGCAGATTGCCCCAGCGATCCTTGGGATTGTGTGGCACATGGCACTGCTCCAGCAGGAACTTCACGCATTCCAAGTGCCCTTCGGAGGCGGCCAAGTGCAGGGCGGTGCGGCCATCGTAGTCGGCCAGGGTGATGTCCATGCCGGACAGACGGTGGCGACGCAGAGCCGTGACATCCCCGCTGGCGGCGGAGAAGAGCAGATTGACAATGGACAGGCCCTTGGTCTCGTAGCGATGCTTGCGCGGATCCTTCTTGTTGGACAGATGCTTCAGGTTGTCGTAGCGATGGAAGTTGAAGGTGTTGACCAGCTCCTCGCAGAACTGCAGGCCGCGCACCGTATTGCCCAGCTGGTCCAGAGGCGGCGACCAGGCAAAGATGCCCATCACATTGGGAATGACCAGCATCATGCCGCCGCTGACGCCCGACTTGGCTGGCAGGCCGACCTTGAAGGCGAACTGTCCCGAGTAGTCGTAGGTGCCGCACGAGTGCATTATGGAGAGCACATCCCGGATGACTTCCGGGCGAAAGATCTTCTCCTCGGTGGTGGGACAAATGCCGCCGTTGGCCAGGCTGGCGGCTATCACAGACATCGCCTCGCAGTTTGTCTCCATGGAGCAGCACTGGAAGTAGTAGTCCATCACCTCCTTCAGGTTTGTGCGCTTCGGGAAGCATTTGTTCTCGCGCATATAAAAGCCCAGGGCGTAGTTGCGATCGGCTGCCTCGCGCTCTGAGAGAAATACGGCATTATTGAAGCCAATGTACTCGCCGCCAGACAGGCGCTTGAACCAGGACATCGTGTAGTCAAAGATCTCCGCGGAGGTCATGTCGGGCTTGACCAAGGCGCTCATCAGCGAGCAGGTGAGTATGGCGCCTGCATTGATCATCGGATTGTGCGGTTTCTCTGTGGAGCAGAAGCAGGAGTAGATTAGGGTTAGCTAAGTCCCAGCATGGAGCATGCTCAATGCCAACTCACTATTCTGGTCGAGAACGAGCTCATTGAAGATGCGGCCACTTGGCTCCTGGCCTACGAACGAGTGCACCAGCTTGGGTCCCAGCTTCTCTAGGGCGATGGCATAGGTCAGTGGCTTGCTGCAACTCTGCAGCGTGAAGGGCTCCTCGACATCGCCAATGGAGAAGCGTTGTCCGTCCACTGTGCAAATGCTGACGCCCCAGAAGTTGGGGCTGTAGCGCGCCAGCTGGGGAATGTAGTCGGCCAGCTTGCCGAGAGTGTTGGACTTGCAGCGATGGTAAATTTCCTCAATGTCCTTGACGAAGCTCGCGAAGTCCGGGATGACAAACTGTTGGCGGAACGCCTTGGCAATCAGCACAATGTTCGGCGAGACCACACTGTAAACGAAGCAGAGGAAAGGATAATGAAGGATCATGGATCGGACTGGGACCAGGCTAGACTCACGCCTTGAAGGTCTCGCGGTTGAGATGCTGAGTCTCGGCCGACGAGCCCGTCTCGTAGTTGTTCAGCTTGTGCACCTTCTTCAGGTTGTCCATGAGCTCGCGCACGCGCGGATCATTGCGCCGTATGCCCGTGGTCTTCAGTCCGGCCAGGAACTTGCCCATGGATATGAGGCCCGTCTCCTCGCTGGCAAACATATCGAAGAGCACATCCTCCGCGTTGCGCTGCTCCTGCTCGCGATGGCTAAACGAGAAGAGGGTTTACGGAAATAATTAATAGTTGGCCAAAACTTCATTAAGAGACGGCGGGAACTCATTTAGCATGCTTATGTGGAAAAAAGCTAGAAGCTACGGCGATTTACTTAAAATACAACTATAGGTAAAGCTCTAAACAAAACAAGTGTGGGCAGGTGATAATATGAGCAAACAAGCGTCTAGACCTGGCTACAGTTCAGCTACAAAGGTCTAAATTTAGACCCAGCCAGAGTTGCCAGGCCGCGTCTCGTCCGCGTCAAATTGATCGAAAACAAAAGGAAAATAAATACAAGAAATCTCAATTATCAAATAAATATACACATATATATATATATATATATAGTTCTTGTCAAATTTCAATTGAACTCAATTAAAGCACAAATTGAATGCGTCGAAAGTTACGACTAGAGTTGATCAAGCAATAAATAAATATATATATAATGGTTGTGGCGCTACATATCAACTAAAAACGAGTGTTATAGCGGAGTCTTTGTCTTGTTTGGCTGGGTGTCACAAAACTAAACCGAAAAGCATATAAAACACGCAGGGAAACACCATCCAAAATTTACTCACGGCCTTATCGAATAGTTGCGTCGCTGATTTCTAAGGAAATAAAATATATATAGCAAATATATATATATAATTATCTATATATATGTGAATATGTGTAGTGGGGGTCTGCCATATGTTGTGCTATAAACGCAATTGTGGACTGAGAGGGTGTGTCACTGTGTGTGTTTTTTTGCTATTTATATGATATGATACTGCTTATAAAGGACCCATTAGATACACTGTACCCATTATACATGTCCTGTATATCGTTTATATACCATCTGGGTATCCTATTAATGGCCTATATATTATATAGGTACACTCTATCCTATGTGTACAGCAGGTATATACCTCATCCAATAGATGACCTGTAGATACCCTACATATACTCCATATAACGCTTATTTATGCCAGTGGGCTGCCTTCATATGCCTATATATAGTAATGAAGTTGTATAGTATCCTATAGATGTCCCCTATAGGATACCCCACGCATGCACTATACTCCATATATAGAGATTCTCCATATATAGCATAGGTTTACGCTATAGCTTCCTCACATATGTCCTGTATGCATACCATATCCTATATATAGGATATTGGTGCTATACAGACGAGGGCGTCTGTACCCTCTCGACGACCCGATGTATACCTGATTATCGCCGATATAGTGCGCACTATGGTGCCGCGACGATTCTGCAGCGAGATGCCCTCGATGATCTCCTCGATTATGGCCGCTGTCTCGGTTGTCTCCTGCTCTTTGTTGTGCCTATAGATCTCCTCGCGCTCTTTGGCCTCGCCGTCCTCGCTCTGGCGCTTCAGCGCAACTATATCCTCCGTTATCACCATGGCGTATGCGTAATATTCTGAACCTAAAGCTCAACTGTGTTGCGGCTACGCGACGATCGGACATTTTATACATTAGCCAAATGTGTGATTTTTATTGTTGAACGAGCGAGACGGCGAGCGAGAGAGCGAAGGAGAACGAGAACGAGAGTGAGTGAGAACGAGAGAGACAGACGGTGCGTCTGTGGGTGAAAAGGCGCTAATTTCTAAATCATGTTATTGCCAATAAAATAAATTAATTAACTCCCCATTCAAAGTATGTAAACACCCGCAGCTATTTGCCTTTGCCGTCGTGTGTAATATTGTGCCCATTATTGGAATATAATGTATATGGACATACTATATCACGTATATGGCTAATGTCTG